CTTCTCAATTTGTTGCATTCCATTGTTCAATTTCCGGAGTATTGAACTTGTGGTTGTTGGGAATTTTATCTATTTTTATCATGCTTTTGGGGAAGGGGAGAGGATTTATTAAACTCCTTCCTCCACCATTCTGGAAACATCTCCCTTACATGCTGCTTATATGACCTCATTAAATCTCCACTGCATCCTGTGGGACACGTGCAATCACCCCATGTTGTAGGAAGCAAACTGAAGTCCAGAGAGGAGGAGAGGCTTGCCCAGAGTCACACAGCTCGTAAATGGTGGTACTGAACTGGATCCCAGTGTTGGAGGAGGGAGAAAAGATCAGGAGCTGATTCCTTGGGTTCAGACCCCTACTATCACTTCCTAAACATGAGAGCTTTGCCAAGTCATTTCATTGCACTGGGTCTCACTTTCTTTCTCTATAAAATGGGCATGAATTAGTACCTGCTGCAGAGAGTTGAAAACATTTATGAGTTGTGTAAAGCAGTTGGAGCAGGGCTCAGTCTCAAAAACAGACTGAAAACTGTGTTTCCTTGGAACAAAATGGCCACATTTGACTCATGAAAAAGCAGTATTTTATGCTGCAAGAGATAAGTTTCAATTACCTGGGCAATTCCAATACATGGAAGAGCTGATTCCATAAAGACACAGGACAAGGAGGAATTTCTTAATAGTCACCTGGATCCTTGCTGTGTCTTTTTCTATCAAATAGTTGTTGGACAATGATTGTGTCATGTTGAACTAAATGAAATAATTGATATTTGACCTAAACAAATAACAGTTTTGTGTGGTTCAATCTAACTGTAATGTTAATGGGGATAAAAATAACAGCATTTAAGTGCAAAGTAATTTACAAAGTCCTTTTCATATACTTTCAGTTAATCCTCCGAATTGCTGTATGGTCCAGGCAGGGAATATTCTCACCACTTCACAAGTGGGGAAGAGGGTCAGTTGTATAATTTAACGCCGGCGGTTACCCACGCATGCCAGGGTTTGAATCCAAGCTTTGTTATATGTAACATTAAATCAGCAGAGCAGAAGATCTATGTTAGGACTGATGTTCTCGGCTACACAGACACCTGAAGAATGTCTCAGCAAACAAAGAGATGGAGAAGGAGCCTCAGTTATGGTGGGTTGAGCACGTGCTTTGCCAGGGTTTGAAGTGTATCTGAGAAAGGGGATCCTTCATCCATGTTCTACAGCACGGTTCCAGGGTTTTGGCCAAAACAGAGGTGACTATGAAGAGAAATAGCTCCTAACATTTATTGAGTGCTTACTGTATGCCAGGTGCTATGTAAATTCCTGCACAAGCACAACCTCAGAATTGTCTGAAACAGATCCCCATCTTTCTGAATGGAGTCTGAGGCTCAGAGTAAAGTACTTCCCCAAGGCCACACAGTTTATGGAGTGATAGAACTAAGACCTGAACCCAGATAGAGCTAACTCTGGATCATGATTTTTTCTTTTTCCCCAAAACATCTGCCATAGACTTTACCTCAAAGGTACACTTAGAAAAATTTCACTGGTCATATATTTCATTTTAAAAATCCATTGTCTCTTCAGTCAAATTTTTTATTGTTTCTCTCTTCTTGTGCAGACAGAAAAGGCATTATATTTTGGATGTATTGGTTTTATTCATTTCTACCACCTACAGCTCCCTTGGAACATGTTTGGCTAAAATGTGATAAATGAAACCACTGAAATTTTGGAAGCGTGTCATGGAATGTTCTTCTGGGAGGTCAGAAGATGGGGTTTCCTTCCTGATTGCAGTCTGTGACTAGATTTTTAAGAAGGATTTTTTTTTTGATATCTTAGGAAGTTTTCTGTGATGCCTTTGACCCATGGAATTGAAACTCATTTACTAAATTACTCCAGCCTCATAATACCTTTTGCTTCCTGAGCATTGCAATTACTTTTCTGACAGTTTATTCTTAAAATAGACTTTCTGATTTTCAGTGAATGAAAGACCAATGAGGGGTGGTATGTGGGTGGGGTGGGAGGGAAATTGGCGGGCACAGAGCAACCAGGCACAACCTGGGTTTATCTGAGAGTCCTGATCTCTGGCCGATTATTTCAAAGCCTGCGCGACTATTTGACAAGGGGAAGATTCCATTAAATGGCTGGTGATTCGGTCCGTGCTGCATCCAGAAATCTCTTTGAGTAGACTTGTTTCTCCTGTGTGGGGCTGCTTTTCCTCCCTATGGCATCTCTCTGGTTTGGGTGTTCATTCATTCAGTCATCTTATCTATTGAGCTCCTACCGTGTACATGGACCAGTACTATAGTGCAGTACAGGAAACAGGCTCCTCTGACATAAGGCAGGTCAGGCAGGTGAGGTTAACGACCATGTCAATTATTTAGTAAATACTTGTGGGAGTGAGGCAGTCAGCAGCAAGTGCAATGAGAAGCACAGAGCAGGGAGGCTGTCACAGGAGGTCTTAGTGAATTACGAGGCATGCAGTACAGTTTGAGACATAGGTGTGGCCAGAAAGAACTTCATGGGAATCTGCCTCTTCCCTGTGTGCAAACTTGTAATCTTGAAACAAACAAACAAACAAACCTCCAAAAGCCCTTTGTTTAGTTTTTATTGTGTGTGTGTATTAAAATATATATAAAATAAAAGTTAATCTTTTTTTTAAAATATATTTTTTGTTGTACTTTAGGTTCTGGGGTACACGTACAGATCTTGCAGAATTGTTGCATAGGTACATACATGGCAATGTGGTTTGCTGCCTCCATCCCCCCATCACCTATTTCTGGCATTTCTCCCCATGCTATCCCTCCCAACTTCCCTAGCCCCACTGTCCCTCCTCTAGTCCCCGCTAACAAACCCCAGTGGGTGATGCTCACCTCCCTGTGTCCATGTATTCTCACTGTTCAACACCGATCTATGAGTGAGAACATGCCATGCTTGATTTTCTGTTCTTGTGTCAGTTTGCTGAGAATGATGGTTTCCAGATTCATCCAATGTCCTACAAGGGACATGAACTCATTGTTTTTTATGGCTGCATAGTATTCTGTGGTGTATATGTGCCACATTTTCCTTGTCCAGTCTATCATCAGTGGGTATTTGGGTTGATTCCAGGTCTTTGCTATTGTAAACAGTGCCGCAATGAATATACATGTGTATGTGTCTTTATGATAGAATGATTTATAATCCTTTGGATATATACCCAGTAATGGGATTGCTGGGTCAAATGGAATTCCTATTTCTAGGTCCTTAAGGAATCGCCACACTGTCTTCCACAATGGTTGAACTAATTTACACTCCCACCAACCATGTAAAAGTATTCCTATTTCTCCACATCCTCTCCAGCATCTGTTGTCTCCAGAATTTTTGATGATTGCCATTCTAACTGGTGTGAGATGGTATCTCAATGTGGTTTTGATTTGCATCTCTCTAATGACCAGTGATGATGAGCATTTTTTCATATGTTTGTTGGCCTGATACATGTCTTCTTTTGAAAAGTGTTGGTTCATGTCCTTTGCCCACTTTTGAATGGGTTGGTTTGTTTTTTTTCCTGTAAATCTGTTTTAGTTCTTTGTAGATTCTGGATATTAGCCCTTTGTCAGATGGAGAGACTGCAAAAATTTTTTCCCATTCTGTTGGTTGCTGGTTCACTCTAATGATACTATTTTAAGCATACAATTCAGTGGCAATATGTATGTTCTCAGTGTGGTGCAACTGTCACCAACATCCATCTCCATAACTCTCTTCCTCTTGCAAAACTGAAACATTATACCCATTAAACAGTAAACCTTCATCACCCCTATCTCCAACCCCTAGCCACCATAATTCTTTATTCTGTCTCTGTTGGGGTCTGACCCACAGACCCCAGCCCAGCAACAGGTGAATGAATGCACTCAGACACAGAAATCCAGTGAAAGAACGGGCTTAGGGGTCTGTGGCCACTCACAGACAGTGGAGGAGAGTGCTGTAAAGAGTTAGCAGCTGTGGCCTCGACTCACTGGCCCTGATGGCATTTGTTCAGCACACATTAAGTGATGAAGGCTTTGAGTCAACACATTAGAGGGTAATTTTCCTGGTTGACCTCCTCCAGAGAGAGCCATCTGGCCTGGCCCTGTGAAGGATTAAAGGTTAGTGTTAGGACCACATGAGTAAACAAGTTATTTAGACAAACTCCCCCACATTCCCTTGTTATTTGCTTTTTTTTATTAACTCAAGGTGAAGAGGATTAGGCTGCCTTCAGCCAAACTTTTTACTGAGGCTGCACAACACCCCCAGCCTTCTAAGAAGGTTCGTGACTATTTTCTATAATTTAACAATCTCTCCTACCATCCTGATTGAACCTCCACATGTCTCCATGAATTTGGCTACTGTGAATACCTCATATAAGTGGAATCATGCAGTACTTGTCCTTTTGTGACTGACTTATTTGACTTGGAATAATGTCCTTAAGGTTCACCCATGTTATAGCATGTGTCAGAATTTCCTCTCTTCTTAAGGCTGAATAATATTTCACTGTATGGATAGACCACATAGTGTTTATCCATTCATCTGTCAATGGACATTTGGGTTGTTTCCACCTTTTGGGTATTGTAAATAATGCTTTTATGAACATAAATATATAAATATCTCTTTAATTGAAATCCCTGATTTCAATTCTTTTTGGTACATACACACAAGTGGAAGGGCCAGATCATCTGGTAATTTTATGTTTAGTTATTTGAGGAACTTCTGTACTGTTTTTGCTAATAGGTGCATCCTTCATTTCATTTTGTATCTTTGGTTTCCGCTCTGTAAAATAGGAGGATGAAATAAATTGGTGTGTATGTGTGAAGGTAGAGTGGATGGTACACAGTAGGTGCTCAGCATCTGCACCTTCCTGTGTGAGGTGGGGCTCTGTTAGCCAAAGCTCACAGACTTGTGGTATCATTCTCCGTCCTGGTGCATCAGCCATTCAGCCAGCTTGATGTTCCCCTTCAGGATTCTCCTACCTTCTATGTTCTCTAACTTCTCTCTTCTTTTCTCCCCAGGCTGTGGAGGAGCTCCTGGAGACCTTGGATCTGGAAAAGAAGGCAGTGGCTCTGGGGCACAGCCAAGTGAGTAGAGCTGCTTTCTTACAACAGTCTGCCCATCACATCAGGGACCCAGAGATGACCTGATTCTTGTCCTACCTTAATTGTCCATTATCTCTGTATGTCTCCTTTTTCCAGACTGAAAGCAGAGCTAATGATTTTCTGCCCTGCCTATCTTGCAAAATCATGAAGATAAAATGTCATAATATGGGTTGAAATCGCACTGGGAAATATTTATTGGAGGGTTCCCTCCTGGGGACCCCAAGTGGTCTGGAAGAATTCGCATTTTGGTTCTCAATATAACCTTCTGAGCCTCAGAAAGAGCTGCCATAAAACTGTGGAAGAATCACTCACCTTCACTCATAGCCTTTTAACTTCTACTTTGCAACCAGCTGTAACCCAGCTGTAGTCATAGCTGATGAGCAGCAGTAAGGGAGAAAGAAGGGGCTTGACAAGAAAGCCTGTGATTATTCAAGTTGACAGAAATAGCTTTTCCCAAACTGGTGTTCAGCCAGAAACTCTTCCAAATATGCTTAAATGTTTAGAGCAGATTTTCACACTTCCCTGATATGCTTATCTATGCTGTAAGTTTTCAAGGAGGGAAACATGGTATTTAGGGATTCTCAAACTATTTGACTGTGGAACCCCCAGCCTTTTGTTTGTGTGGAATACCCATTACCTACTTCTGGAACTAGTGATCCATGGATTACAGTTTGGGAAGTGGGGCACAGAGATTGTAAACCCAAGGACCAAGGAGCAAGGGCAGGGGAAGGGTACACAGTTTACAAATACAAACTGGAGGCCAGGTATGGTTCATGCCTGTAATTCCAGCACTTGGGGAAGCTGAGGTGGGCAAATTACCTGAGGTCAGGAGTTCAAGACCAGCCTGACCAACATGGTGAAACCCCTGTCTCTACTAAAAATACAAAAACTAATGGGGCATGGTGGCATGTGCCCGTAATCCCAGCTACTTGAGAGGCTGAGGCAGTAGAATTGCTTGAACCCAGGAGGTGAAGGTTGCAGTGAGCCGAGATCTCACCATTGCTCTCCATCCAGCCTGGGCAATAAAGTGAGACTCTGACACACACACACACACACACACACACACACACACACACACGTAGTAAAGAAAAGAAAAACAAACTGGAGAGGAACAGACCAAAAGAAAGACTACGTCACACATCTCCCCACCAAGTTACCTACTGGTTGATTAATACCATCCAATAAACCTTTGTCAATTGCCTTCCACCTCCAGGGAGCTCTGTGAGGTGCTGGGAGGGTGTCCTGCTTTCCAGGAGCCCACCAGGGTGGCATTACTGGCTGTTTGTACTTCATGGAACCTTCCCTATCATATTGTGCATCACTGAGAGTGGTGGTCCTTTCCTCAGGGAGCTCACAATCATCTGCAGTGGCTCCCACCCCTCAGCTCACCCTAAACAGGCCAGTGTCTCCCCCCTGGCCTCTTGGTCCTGCTAAGGTATTGGTGGAAGCTATTATTCTGTTGTGATCTCAAGATAATTTCTCCTGATGGGAGTTGCAGCATCTCAGTCTTGCAGACTTTTTCAATAGAGAGAATAAACCTGTCAGTTACTGAACTCCCGTGCAAGTCAGGTACTATGCCAGACAACTTCACGTTTTGTTTTTTGTTCTTCATTCACAGTCTTCTGTGAGATGTCAAGTGTGTTTCTGCTTTACAGATGAGGAGGCTGTGCCTCTGGGAAATAGGTCTCTTTTCAAGGTCCTGTCTGTAGCCAAGGGTTCAGACTCCATGCAAATCTGCATTGTTCCAAATCCATTCCAGGGTTTTTTCAGTACTCTCTGCAATGAATGGAAGTACAGTCATGTGTGGTTTAACAATAGGGATACATTCTGAGAAGTGAGTCATTAGGCAATCTCTTCATTGTGGGAACATCACAGAGTGTACTCGCACAAATGCAGATGGAATAGCCTACCATACACCTGGGTTAGATGGCACAGCCTATGGCTCCTAGGCTACAAACCTGTACAGCACATGACTGCACTGAATACTGTAGGCAGTTGTAACACAATGGTAAGGATCTGAGTATTGAAACAGAAAAAAGTAGAGTAGAAACATGGTATTATAATGCTATGGGATCACTGCTGTACATGCATCTATTATTGACCAAAACGTCATTGTGTGGTGCATGACTGTACGTCACATACTCTTTACACATAGGTCTTTATGGTCCTGAATCTGGGGAACTGTTCTTCAGCACCAAGAACTTCATCCTTCTAGATCAGCAGTTCTCAAAGTACGGGCCCTGGACCAGCAGCATCAGCATCACCGAGAGCTGGCTAGAAGCACATACTCAGGCTCTACCCCAGACCTCGTAAATCAGAAACTCTGGAGGGGGGCAGGGCTGGCAATCTGTATAACGAGCCCTCTAGGTGATTCCGGTGCACTCTCAAGTCTGAGAACCACTGATCTAAGTAATGACTCAGTTATGTCATAAATATGAAAATCAGTGCCTATGGTCCTCACAGCTCTTGCAGAAGACGAAAGAAAGCAGTCCTTTCACACAATAATAAAACACGGTTATTATTAATACTTGGTATTAGCTAAGAAACTGTCAAGAGCAAATCAAGGCCAATGTGTCCTTTTGGAGGCCAGGCTGGGGGATAGACTGAGACCTTGAGGGGCAGGTGTAGCATCTTATGCATTGCAGGATTGGCATGTAATACTTGAGAAGGCTGTGAAGCTCAGAGGAAAAGAGAATTGGCTGACCCAGTCCACACCCAGGCTCCACCACTTCCTAACTGTGTGAATCTTCAGTGACTGGTTTAACATCTCCGAGCCTCAGTTATCTCATCTGTAAAATGGAGCCATTACTTTCTACCTCCCAAGATGGCTGTGGGGATCCACAAAGTGTCATTTAACAGGCGGTGGCTGTCACTATTTGCTGAATACGTTTGTCAGTGGGGCAAGAGGCTTATATCAAACAGGATAACATTTTAATGTTTAAGGAATTAAACTCCTCTAATCTGTAAAGCGACTAAGAGGAGAGGAGCTAATTCCTTGGCAGTACCAGATATGGGAGCTGTCGCTCTTGTCAGATTTTAGCACTTTTAGAGGAGAAACAGTTTGCATTGTCGGGGCCCCCGTGGATTCCTTAAAGGTGGGGCTCTGGGGATGTTACACTCTGTTTGCATCCGATAAGCTGCTGGACCCATGAAAAGCAAATAATTTAGATATTTCTTCGTGAGTTTTCAGCCTCTGGTGCCTTATCGAGGCTTGTGCTGCAGGCCACGGCATTTGGGGAAAAGGTGCGATTCCACATGCAGTCGGCCTTCTGGTCGGCAGTATGCTCTTAAAAGGCCAAACAAAAAAAAAAAAATAGAAAGACAGAGGGAGAAGTTGAGATAAGATTCTGCACAGGCTTATTGCCATGCTGTGTGTGGTTGTTTCCAATTATCTTTTTAATGAGAGCTTCATAATCAATAGCGGTGTTGGCAGCACTGCCATCCATTGTCATATACGAACTGGTGCTGTCATCACTTTGATCATTGATTTTTTTTTTTTATAGCAGCTTTTGGGACTCACTAGCTTGTGAAATGAATACAGTCGTTATTGAGGCAATCTGATAGGTAATGAGCCAATCGTGTCTTTATTTCAATGAGACTAATGGTCTTGGTGGCCCTGTCTGATAGGAAGTGTTCTGCAGAGCCAAGGAGGCTGAGGAAAAGAGTTAGTACAGACTGGGTGTCCTAATTTTTATTTTCCCATTGAGAAAAGGTGTAGCGCAGGCTGGTCGGAGATGAGTGGTCTCCATTACGAAAAATAGGTTTAGGGTAATGGAGAATTGATTGGGACCCTTTGTTCTACCTGGAATCCAATTGCAATTGAACCTCATACTTCAGGTGCTTGTATCATAATGAATGAGAAAAGGAAGGCTTGTGTTGACGGACATTGAGCACGGGTGCAGGAAATAAGCCCGAGGTTCTGGGCTTAGGTCTCAGCTTTGCTGGCAACTGATTATGTAAATTTGAGTCAATTTCATAACCTACCTGAGCCAATAGATTCCTCATAGGGCCATTCTGAGTATTAAAAAGATACCTAGGAGAAAGCCCTTTGGGAAATGTAGATGTGTACAAATGTTAATTCTATTCAGTGATAATGGTAGTCTTGTCTGAAGTCAGATAGAGGGAAATAAATCCTGGCATTGTCACTTGCTAGTAGAGGATTGTGGGCAAATGCCTTTTTTTTTTTTTTTTTAAAGCCTTAGTTGCTTCCTCCATAAAATAAGAGAATCATAATAACTACCATCTAGGAGTAGGCATGTAAAGTACTTTCCCTGCATGTCAAATGTCATGTCAAATGTTGGTCTGTATTAATTGATAATGTCATCAGTTAATATAGAGTTATCCATATAGTTATTAATATAGAGTTATCGGGCATAGTGGCTCACACCTGTAATCTCAGCACTTTGGGAGGCCTAAGCTGGCGGTTCACCTGAGGTCAGGAGTTCGAGACTAGCCTGGCCAACATGGTGAAACCCATCTCTACTAAAATAAAAATTAGCCAGGTATGGTGGCACACACCTGTAGTCCCAGCTATTCAGTAGGCTGAGGCAGGAGAATCACTTGAATCTGGGAGGTGGAGGTTTTAGTGAGCCGAGATTGTGCCGTTGTACTCCAGACTGGGTGACAGAGTAAGGCTGTGTCTCAAAAAAAAAAAAAAAAAAAGTCTGTCTCCAGATAACCCCCTTTGGGATTATAAACCACATGTGACAAAGAAACACATGGGACTCTTTTTAGAAATAAGCAGCGTAAGGGCATCAGAAAAGTGACTCCTTCCCCTGCCACTGACTCCAATCCCACCATAAGAGCATTTTTTCTTTGCCTCTGGGAAGGTGAGAAAACAGCCACAGCAAACCAGAGCTACCCTTCCGCATCGGCAGGAGCAGGCCTGGCCCAGAAGCGTCAGGTTCTTGCAGAAAAGCATTTAACTCAAACCTCCAGGACTCTCTGCCTTAATCTTTCGCTGACAGTCAATCCTGGGGTCCCCGCTTCCTCATTCCTGTTCCCTGCAGTCTATTAGAAGGTGGCTCTGTGGGGTGCTGGGGAGGCATTGATCAGAGTGCTGCAGAGGCCATCATCCATTATTGATGAGTTGCGGCCTGGAAATCATGTACCGAGAGCTGTTTTCTGCTAGATACCTTGGCACCTCTGCGGGTGGCAGCAGCTCAGCCCTATCCTCACCAGACCTAGAGGGCTGCCATCCCTTCCCTCACATTCTCTGCCCCTCCTTACAAGGCTGGACTGAGATGTTTCTAAGCCACTGCTTTGTTCAAATTGCTGGTGGGGCTTATCAAAATATTCACATTCCCAAGCCTGGTCCTAAACCTGCAATCCAACCTTTCCTGGGGCCTGGGAATCTTCATATACTACACTTTCCAGGTGATGATTGTGCCCAGAACAGTTCAGGCAAGTCCATCCTAGCAGTGGTTCTCCAAGGAATGTGCACAGGAATCCCCTGGGAATCGTGTGAAAGTGAAGGTTCTGATTCAGCAGGTCTGGAATGTACAGTGTGAGATTTTGCATTTCCAGGAAGCACCCAGGTGGTGCCCATGCTGCTGGTGTGTGGACCACGCTGAGTATCCAGGGCCTAGAGGAAGGGAGAGAGGAGCCATCAGCAGACAAAGTGCTTTGATAATTTAGACTCCCCATCCCCTGCCCACTTAAAGGGCAGCTGCCAACAAATATTGCAGGTGGATGCAAGAGAAGTGGGGTCTGAGTTGTAAGCACCGACAGCCTTCTTCAGCAGAGGACTCACCTGAGACCTTCCCTCTCCCCAGGTTTTTCTCAAAGCAGGTGTGATCTCTAGGCTTGAGAAGCAGCGAGAGAAGCTGGTCTCTCCGAGCATCGTGCTCTTCCAGGCGGCTTGCAAGGGTTTTCTGTCTCGCCGGGAATTCAAGAAGCTGAAGGTACGACATGCTGTTTATGTGCAGGGTCTGATCCAACGGGTCTGGGGTGGGCCTAGGGTCTGTCTGTCCCTCAGGATGATGCTGGTGCAGCTGGTCCAAGAACCCAATTTGAGCAGTGAGACTTTAAGTGAGGCTTTGCAAGATATTCTGTTTCTGGGACATTGACATGAAATTATCCATGAGGTCAGCCTTGCAGTAGGTAGCCATGTGGTTGTCCAAGCCCTCCTGGGCTGATTCGTGATTTCAACCTGTCTTGCTGCTAGAAGAATTCACTTTCACAGGTCAGCAGACAGGGCGTGACCAGGGCCCAACCACTGAGGTTTTGGGGACCAAAGGCCAAATTGAGCTGGAAGCACTGACCCATCTAGGGTCACTGTCTTCAGAGATCTCTGGAGACCCAATTTCCACTCTGTTGCTGCACGATAGAGAGAAAACAATGTGGCTCTGGGAACAAATATGTGTTCGAATTCCACCTCTACCTCTTAGTACCTGGGTGAAGGTGAGATAAAATGATGTGCGCTTAATACAGTACATGGCACATAGTAATTGCTCAATAAACTCTAGCTGCTCTTACCTTAGAATTGTATTCTTAATTACTACTACTGGAATGGAGTCTTGTTATATGTGCCTCCAGTTTATGTGAACTTATAAACTACTTGGCAAAGAGAGAGAAACGATGAGACTGTGATAATGAACATATCGTGGGCAACCCCGCAGGCCTTCTGCACTAAGTAGCTCATACCTTGGAAAGAATAGAATAGAGTTTTGGATTCTGGGCTCTGTAGCCAGACTGCAAGGGTTCAAACCTGCTCTAGCACTGAGAAGCTGGGTGACACTGGGCATGTGTCTTTACCTCTCTGACCCTCACTTTCCCCATCTGTAAATACATAAAATAATACCATCTTCCTAGGACTAGAGTAAGAACCGAGCTGAGGTTTGTGAGACACTCAGGGCAATGCCTGGCACGTAGGAAGCTCAATGTCTGCTGCCAAGAATCAGCTACTGCGATGGTGATGAGGGAAAAGCATCTCTTGGCCTGTCTGCCAGTCAGTGCTGTTCTGGTTTCCCCCAGTGATAAGAATGAAGTGAGTCAGTGCTTCTCAAAGTGCGGTCCCAGACCAGCAGCATCAGCATCACCTGGGGATTTGCTGGAAATGCACATTTCCAGGCTCCATCCTGCACTGGCTGAATCAGGACCTTTGTGGGTGAAGTCCAGCGATCTGGGGTTTTACATTCAAGTTTAACATTCACGCACATTCAAGTTTGAGAAGCATGGAATTACTGTTTAAATACTCTGAAAATTCTCTCCCTTCAATGTAAGCTAATAACATAATCTTGGACACTGTTATTTGTGGGCAATTTTAGAGATTTTTCAGCGACAGTTTTTGCCTCGCATGATGACATTTAACCCTAATCCCCATAAAAGATGTGACCTACCGTATATTCTTCTACTCTTTGTCCTATTACCATTATTATTTGGCCATTCAAGACTAAATTATGGCATAATGTTTGATGCAGGGAGCCTGACGTATCAAAAGGACTACAAGAAAGGAAGCCTGTGTGTGTGTGTGTGTGTGTGTGTGTGTGTGTGTGTGTGTGTGTGTGTTAAGGTATCCAGTCCCTTCCACCAGGAAGTAAGCCCATTTCCTCCAGCCCCTTTGCTCCCCTCTGCTTCCTCTCCTTCCTCTGTTCTCACCTGGGTTGGGAAGGACCCTCCAGCCTTTGTTCTCCTCCCCTGCAGATTCGCCGACTGGCTGCACAGTGCATCCAGAAGAATGTGGCCGTGTTCCTCTCAGTCAAGGACTGGCCATGGTGGCAGCTCCTGGGATCTCTCCGGCCCCTCCTTAGTGCCACCATTGGAAATGAGCAGCTCCGAGCCAAGGAGGTCAGTTTATGCAGCAGGCAGAGTTCTGGGTGGCTACTCCCCACGCCCCCATCGTCTTGCTTGCATTGAGGACCCTGTGTCCCTGTTCCTGAACATTATTGATCTAAGAGCGCCCAGCCCAACAGCCTTGAGGCTCCTTCCAAATGTTCCTCTGCCTTCATCAACACAGACAATCCTCCTTCCCATGCCCAGCTCCTCTCTAGGCTGTGCGTGGTTAGAGATGCTATCACCACCCTGGGGGTTTATGAACACTTGCTACTTAACCCAGAAAAGCTCAATGGGCAGAGTCTTTGAGTCCATTATTTTTTTATTCTGCTTTAGGTTCTGGGGTACATGTGCAGACATGCAGGATTGTTGCATAGGTGCATATATGGGAAGGTGGTTTGCTGCCTCCATCCCACCCCCGCATCACATATATCTGTCATTTGAACAATGAGAACGTGTGGACACAGAGAAGGGAGTCCTTTATTTTTTTTATTTCTCAGGCAACACTCTTTCTATCATTCTTCCCTGTTGTCACCTATCTTTTATAACCGTTTCAATTGGTTTATGCTTTTTGTTATTTTGCAAAAATTGGTAAATACACACACATACATTTAGTTCTTATCTTTCTTACATTAAAATATAATCTTTTATATGCTCTTCTTCAGCTTGTGTTTTTCACTGAAAATGCATTCTGAAAATCTTGGCGTTTCCATTTTTGTGGAGTTCTTCCTTGTTCTCTTTTCATGGCTGCATAGCGCTCTTCTGTGTGTTCCGTAGCTCATTCCACCAGCCTGCTGTGGGTGGGCAGTGAAGCAGCTTCTGAATGGTGCTGAGCCACAGGCAGAAAGGCAATCCATGGAGGATGAGGCACTGAGCACAGTCCACACTGGGCATGCTCAGTCTCAGGCAAAGCAATGGTCTCATTCTGATGATTTGCGTGCAGCCCTAGGCTGGGCTGGGCTGGACCAGACTTGCATGAACAGAGACATTGAGATTTGGAATTGATGAAACAAAAAGTCTCTTGTTGGAACCCAGCACACGGGTATCTTCACGGATGCCAGCTGAATTACTTACTCCATTCCCCAAACACTCTTTTTTTTAAAAAAACTTTCTTTTTTTTATAATTTTTTATTCATTTATTTATTTATTTTTGAGATGGAGTTTCACTCTTGTTACCCAGGCTGGAGTGCAATGGTGCGATCTTGGCTCACCACAACCTCCGCCTTCTGGGTTCAGGCAATTCTCCTGCCTCAGCCTCCTGAGTAGCTGGGATTACAGGCACACGCCACCATGCCCAGCTAATTTTTTGTATTTTCAGTAGAGATGGGGTTTCACCATGTTGACTAGGATGGTCTCGATCTGTTGACCTCGTGATCCACCCGCCTCGGCCTCCCAAAGTGCTGGGATTACAGGCTTGAGCCACCGCGCCTGGCCCTTTTAAAAAAACTTTCATCTTTAATTTACAAAAACGAATTGTACATACTTATGGGGTGCAATGTGATGTTTTGATGTATGTTTACAATACGAAATGATTAAGCAAGGCTGATTAACAAATCCATCACTTCATTTATCATTTTTGAGTGTGTGCGTGTGGTGAAAACACTTAAAACCCACTTTTTTTTTTTTGGAGACAGAGTCTCACTCTGTTCTCCAGGCTGGAGTGCAGTGGCGAGATCTCGGCTGACTGCAACCTCCGCCTCCTGGGTTCAAGCGACTCTCCTGCCTCATCATCCTGAGTAGCTGGGACTGCAGGTGTGTCCCACCACACCCAGCTAATTTTTTGTATTTTCAGTAGAGACCGTGTTAGCCAGGATGGTCTCAATCTCCTGATCTTATAATCTGCCCTCCTCAGCCTCCCAAAATGCTGGGATTACAGGTGTGAGCCACCACACCGGGCCAAAATGTACTTTTTAAAAGCAATTTTGAAATATGCAGTGCATTACTATTCATTAGAGTCACCATTCTGTGCAATTGATCGCTAAGGTTTATTCCTTCTAAGTGAAACTTAGTGGCCTTTGCTCACTTGTAACACAGGTGGAACTTAATCTCTGGTCTGGAGTGGTTTCATTAAGGTGTTTGTTTTCGTAGGAGGAGCTTACAACGCTGAGACGGAAGCTAGAAAAATCAGAGAAGTTGCGGAATGAGCTCCGGCAGAACACAGATACGCTAGAAAGCAAGGTATCCCCGTCCTTCCTCTTGGGTCCTTGGGGGGGCGGTCTTCGTGTATGTGAGATCTGTTTAAGAGTGAGAACGATGATATGTCTGAAAGTGTGCTAATTGCATTACAAGCACCCCAGAATTACCTGTGAGGCACATGCTGTTATTGAACTCATTTTACAGTGGAGGAAATTGAGGCCCTGGGATATTAAGTATCTTCCTGGGGGGTTGTACAACCAGGAAGTGTAACTGAGATTCAAACCCATATCACGTGGTTCCAAAGGGAAGAATTTCTGAAGTAATAGACAAAAGCACAAATCGTAGGAAAACATGATAAATTTGACTTTATTAAAATAATGAACTTCAGTTTATCAGAGCAGAAAATGAAGATACATTACTTACTTAGAGTAGAAATTTGCAAACTGGAAAAGAGTATCCAGAATATGTAAAGAGCTTCCCTAAATCAACTGGAAGAAGGAAAACACTCCAATAAGAACAGAAAAAAAATACGGGCCAGTAATGTGAATGGGCAGTTCCCAAGGAAGCGGATCTTGTTTCAAGAGTTCAAGTGTTCAGGAATTCAAATGGCCAATAAACTCCTGAAAAGACACGCAACCTAATTAGCAATTAGGAAATGCAAATTAACACCTTAATAGGTACTGTTTCACACATCAGACTGGAAAAATCGAAGAGTGTGATGTAGCCAAGTGTTGGCAAGGACCTGCAGCAGTGAGAATTCTTATTTACTGCTGGTGGGATCATAAATGGATCTCATCACTCTTAAGCAATTTGGCATTATCTGTGAAAGTTGAACCTGTCCATGCCCTGTGGCTGGCAGTTCCACCTGTAGGTTATTTATTCTAGAGAATCTTATCCGTGAACACATGAAAATACAAGAAGTTCATAGCAACAGCGTTTGCCATGTTGAAGGAACGTAAACACAGGAAAGTCAACACTCAAATGGGAGTTTATTAATAGAATAGGTGGATATGTTTTGTGACATTAAAAACTGGAGGTCCCAAGAGTGAAAATGAATGAAGAGACAGGCAAAACTGTGTCTCACTGGCCAAATTCAGTGCACCACCCGCTCTTTGTAACGTTTTATTGAAACACAGCCACACTCACTCCTTGTGTAGTCTATGGCTGCTTTCATGCTGCAGTGGCGGGGCTGAGTAGTTGCAACCGGAAACTACTCTCTGGATCTTTACAGAAAACATTTCCTGATCCTTAAACTAGAAATGTGTATCAACGTGGGTTGCCCTCACAAACCTAGTGCCAGAGGAAAATGATTCCGTTACAGAAGAATACTCGATTGATTAGGGGCATATCCCTTTATACTTATGATGTCATCATATTTATGGGAATAATGACACCAATTCAGAGTAGGGGTTGCCTGCGCTGTGGTCATGTGACTGGAGAAGCTTATGCTGGTTGAATGTGAGACTGCATGCTCCACGTGTTTCTCTCTCTAGTTGGGTGTTGAGTTCATGGGCTGGGAATGACAACATAGACCAGACAGTTCCTGCTCCAAGAAGGTCACTGCAAATGACAGATAGACTCCTAGACAAAGTCATATGCTGTATTAGTCCATTCTTGCTCTGCTCTGAAGAGTTACGTGAACTGGGTAATTTATAACGAAAAGAAGTTTTATTGGTTCAGGCTTCCACAGGCTGTACAGGAAGCAGGGCTGGGGAGGCCTCAGGAAACTGACAATCATGGTGGAATGTTAGGAAGAAGGCATGTCCTACATGGCTGAAGCAGAAGGAAGAGTGAGAAAGGGAGGTGCTTTACACTTTTAAACAACCAGATCTTGTGAGAACATACTCACTATCCCTAGAGCAGCAAGGGGAAACCTGTCCCCAGGATCCAGGCCCCTCCTCCAACACTGGGGATTACAGTTTGATATGAGGCATGGGCAGAGACACAGAGCCAAATCGTGTCATGTGCTATTATGTTGCATGTGGTCAGCAAGCCACAGCTAGACCGAAGAGGAACTTCTCGAGGAAAACCTGCTGCTCCTCATAGACTCTCAGGACTGGGGAAGGGGAGGCACTTGTCTAGGGAACAAAAGCTAAAGTGTCGCCGCAAAACTGAGCAACGTAAATAATGTTTTACAGTTGTAAAGTAGTGCGGAAAAAAATCCCTGATGAAGAAAATATCAAAATTTTAAGTAAATGAAAAATTTGTCGGCCAAGATTAGGGTGAGGCAAGTAAACATTCTATGCAGCATGAACCAATCTTTATTTAAAATTTTGATATTTTCTTCACCATGGGTTTTTTGACTAATGGAGATTTTTAAAACATTGCATTAAAATCTTATTTATCTTGATTTCTGAGGGGTTTCTTTTCAGCATCTCTTTAAATGTTGCACCCTAGGTGAGTGTTTTACATGCTCTATCCTACTCCCAGCTCTGTTTGTCCACAGAGCTCTGGGTACCTCCCAGGGTTCTGTTAAAGACCAAACGGAACTCAGTTTTTCACCCACTCAACAAATACATATGAGCATCTCCCATGTGTTAGGCATTTGACTTGATGCCGTGATCGAGCTAGGAAGGATGTAAAGTCCCTGTCCTTACACGAGTCTCCAGACCGAAAGAGGGAGACAGACCACAGGCGAGCTTGTCACAGATCATGAAGTGCTATGGATATAAAGCAGAAGTGAGGGGTTGATGAAGTGATGGACGTTGAGCATGGGCTCTGTTTGGCTAATGGTCAAGGAAGAATTCCATGGAAGTGGGATGTTTGATTCCAGATCTGAATGATTTGCTGTAGCCATCTATGTGCAGATCTGGGAGAAAGAGAACATATGGGCTGGGCATGGTGGCTCACGCCTGTAATCCTAGCACTGTGGGAGGCCAAGGCAGGCAGATTGCCTGCGCTCAGGAGTTTGGTACCAGCCTGGAAAACCCGGTGAAACCCCATCTCTATTAAAATACAGAAAAGAAATTAGCGGGGCATGGTGGTATGTACCGGTAGTCCCACCTACTGAAGCTGAGGCAGGAGAATTGCTTGAACTTGGGAGGCAGAGATTGCAGTGAGCCGAGATCACACCACTGCACTTCAGCCTGGGTGACAGAGCGAGACTCCAAAACAAAACAAAACAAAACAAAACAAAACAAAACAAAACAAAACAAAACAAAACAAAGAGTAGATATGGCAGGAGCCAAGGTCCTGGGTCAATGTGAGCTAATATTTGTCAGTCCAGGACAAAATTCAAGCTTTCTACACCCGAGAGCACCTGGTGTTACTATTACTTGCTTATAATATTGTTTGGCTTGGTTGATGGACAGTGGTAACTGTAAATGGATTTATGATTAAGCCGATGGAACATGCCCTTCTTCTCATGTTGATAACCCAAGGTGAGCCTGGGATGGCTCATGTGGGGATGTGGAATGAAGTTTGGGAGGGGTCTGTCTCTTTTCTGCTTGTTCTCATCTTCCCTGTAAGATTATGTCCACTCTCTTCACGTTCAAGTGTCAACTGTGGAGTTGGCTGGGGAGAAGAAAGAAGCCTTGCTCCTTATACACAGAGAGTTAGGAGAGGCTGGGCTGAGGTGCACCCTGAGCCTCTGCTCCTCTTATGCAAAAGACTGTAAGGAGGAGAAGAAATGACACACACATGCCTAACGTCTCGTTCATGTCTTGCGAGAGCGAGCTGCCTGACCTCTCTTGCTAGCAGCAACAATGAGCAGAACAGCAGAAGTGAAAAATTGGAGACCTGTGGGCTGGTTGGGAGTATCAGGGACTTCCCTGTAGAAATTCCTTCCCACTGAGCTGACATTTGAGGCAGTCATTAATCACGAACTGTCAGGCCGGATTTGCCATGCATCAGTTGCTGGGGGACATGTGCAGGGATGAACATCTTCAGCATCCAGAACTGCAGTTTAGGGAACATTTGGAGAAGGATGGGCAGAGCTCAGGCTTCTGCAACCCAAACCAAGCAAACGGGTGCCAACCCCTTCAGAAGATTCTGCTCTGCCTCTTTAACTCTTTGCTTGTATCATGGTTACAACAGGATGTATCGGGCCTCAAAAATTAAGATAAAATTTAAAAGTGAAGAAAGGCAGAGAAAAGGGAAATAAGGGTTGATGAGTGTATGAAGCCAGGGGAAGAGGTAGAAAATGGAAATCGACCTTTGGCCTCGGATGCCCTCTCACTTCATAGCGTTCGCTTGTTCACTCTGCCTGGAACACACTCTTCATCCTCTTCACCTGGTTAATACCTTTTCATCCCTTGTCACTCATTTCAGGTGGTACTTCCTCTAAGAAGCCCTGTTGGACACTCTAAGGGAGGGTTAGGGCCCTACTCTGTGCTACCACTAGCTTTGTTGTTTCCCTTCATGGGATTAATTGACTGTTTCCTAATAATCTCCTGTGTCTGTGTCCCAGCGAGACCGAAACCCTAAAACAGGGATCAGTAATCCCTGTTTTCATCCCTCTTTGTCAAACAATCCCAATCCCTGGCACAGGATAGATAAAGAATGGGCAAATACAGCTATTAAAGTTGGACTGAAAAATCTAACATTGAGCTTCCTAGCGGCCAAAGCTAAGAGGGAAACAAGATATTTCATAGACATGTTGAATGTAGATTGAAAAAAAAAAGAAACAGCTGTTGCAATACCCAGAAAAGAGTAACTTTTCACACAGTAATTCACACAGTAATTGAGAGGGGTTTGGGTAGCGTCATCTTGAACTGCAAGCCAAGGGCGTGATGTCAGTTCTGCCAAAAATGAATCAACTGAAATCAAAGCAGGGCTTTATGCGGGAAGCACATTTGATGACTGAGTATTATGACTTTCTCTTCCTTAAATCTTTCTCTCCCTTCCCACTTCATCTTCCCCAACTTCCAGTGCTAGTACCGCTGGTTTATGTTGGTTGCTTTTACGTTTTAAAATTTTCTTAACAGTTTTAGAGGGTACAATTGCAGTTTCTCCAGCATGGATGTATTACATAGTGATGAACTCTGACCTTTCAGTGCAACCGTCATCCAAATAGTGTACCTTCTATTCATGAGGTCATTGCTCTTTTTAAATTAGTTAATAATTAAGTTCAACTTTTATTTTTTGAGACAGAATCTCACTCTGCTGCCTAGGCTGGAATGTAGTGAAGTAAACTTGGCTCACTGCAGCCTCAACCTCCTGGGCTAAAGTGAACCTCCTACTTCAGCCTCCTATGTAGCCAGGACCACAGGTGTGCACCATCATACCTGGCTAATTTTTTCAATTTTGGTAGAGACAGGGATCTCACTTTTGTTGCCCAGGCTGGTTTCCAACTCCTGGACTCAAGCAATCCTTCTGCCTTGGCCTCCCAGAGTGCTGGCGTGAGCCAGCGCACCAGGCCTGTAATTACACTTTAAAAAGCATCCTAAGGCTGGGCTCAGTGGCTTATGCCTGTAATCCCAACACTTTTGGAGACAGAGTCAGAGTTTGAAACCTGAGTTTGAGACCAGCCTGACCAACATGGAGAAACCCTACCTCTATTAAAAATACAAAATTAGCCGGGTGTGGTGGCGCATGCCTGTAATCCCAGCTGCTTGGGAGGCTGAGGCACTTGAACTCGGGAGGCGGAGGTTATGGTGAGCCAAGATCATGCCATTGCACTTCAGCCTGGGCAACAAGGGTGAAAAAACTCTATCTCAAAAAAAAAAAAAAAAAAAAAAAAAGAGCATTGTAGTCACCTGGGGAGCTGTTAGCTCTGTATCTTTCCCAGTCCATCTCCTGAGGGTCTGGCTCAAGAGGGGGTTCTTGGTATATGGGGGTGGGGAGCCCTCCAGCCCCTAGATGATCCTGATTCAGGGGGTAAGGTTGCCTTAGAGCAGTGGTTCTCATACTTGGGAATGTGTCAGAATGCCCTGGGAGACTTCTCAGAATACAGATTGCTAGATTCCAGCCTTCGAGATTCTGAATCAGCAGGCTTGGTGTGGCCTTGGGGAGGCTGCATTTCTAACAAGTTCTCCAGTGATGCTAAAGGTGCCTGTCCTGGGATCACACTTTGAGACACATTAGGCCAGAGAACAGCTAGAAGATATCCTCTTCCACATGCATCTGCTTTCTTAGAAGGGAATTTCTGTTAGCAGACGGGGATCAGATGCCCTTCCAGGGCCGCATCATGAAGACATCCCTGCTGCGGTTCACGGCCTCTGCACCCCACCCCTTTGTCTCTGGAAGGGGAGAAACAGTGAATAGAAACATTGCGAAAACATGTTGTGTCTCGTTGGCGGAAACTCCGTTTGACTAGGCTTATTAAAAGACAGCATTACTGCAAAATGATTTAAGTGCTTCATTTGTGAAGGAGCAGACGAGGAGGTGAGGAGCTTTTAAGAAGCTGGCTGTAAATACTCTTCAAGCATGCAAAATCTGCCCTGATACAAACTGGTTTTTTTTGTTTTTAAATTTTCATAAGAAAGCAGAGGTGGCCTTCTTGTTGGAAGCACCTGTAAGGTTTTGGAAACATATGGGATACATCATGAGATGGGGTATTTTTTTGCTGTACTTTAAGTTCTGGGGTACATGTGCAGATCCTGCAGGTTTGTTACATAGGTAATACATTTGCCATGGTGCTGCTTTGCTGCATCCATTGCCCGGTCATCTACATTAGATGTTTCTCCTAATGCTATGCCTCCCCAATCCCCTCAGTCCCTGCTATTCCTCCCATAGCCGCCTCCCCACAAGCCCCAGTGTGTGATGCTCCCCTCCCTGTGTTCATGTGTTCTCATTGTTCAACTCCCACTTATGAGTGAGAACAGGTGGTGTTTTGTTTTCTGTTCTTGTGTTAGTTTGCTGAGAATGATGGTTTCCAGTTTCATCCATGTCCCTACAAAGGACATGAACTTATGCTTTTTTATGGCTGCATAGTATTCCATGGTGTATATGTGTTACATTTTCTTTATCCAGTCTATCATTGATGGGCATTTGGATTAGTTCCAAGTCTTTGCTATTGTGAACAGTGCTGCAATAAACATATGTGTACATGTGTATTTATGATAGTATGGTTTATAACCCTTTGGGTGTATACTCAGTAATGGGATTGCTGGGTCAAATGGTATTTATATCTCTAGATCCTTGTTCCTCTCTATGGAGTAGTAGGTTCTAGATTTCCCCCCAGGATCTTATTTGTGGCAGAAGACAGGCTCATGCCCTCCTGATTTCTGGCCTCATTAGCCTGAGAGGTTTCGCTTTTGGTAATAAATTGCGGAGAGAATCCACTGACGGGGACTGGAGATGCATGTAGGTCAGAAAATGTATTTGCGAAGTGCGGAGGGGGTTTGGTTATGGGTCATGAGTGTGGCTTCTTGCTTGTGTCTAGCAGGGGTAGGAAAGTGGCTTGCTGGGATCATGTGGTCACTGGTGACTGAGCCCAGACCACATCCCAGGTCTCCTGACTCCTTGCTCCATGATCCTGCCGCCGCATCATGCATCTGTGGGGAACTGGACTGGTCACTCCCTAATGCCCAGGGGAATTAGGCAGCCTCGTTTCTTATCTGTCTTAGAATATTAGGATCTGTTGAGCCTTCACTGCTAAGAGATGCTCGAGAGGGTCTCCTGGTGGACAGTGGCAGAGGCATGGTGGTCACATTCACAGATGGTCCTGGTGGCCTCTCTGCTAAAGAACAGCTGGTGTGTTCTTTCTGACTGTGTGCCTCAGTTTGCCCATTCAGAACCGAGTCTATAATGTCTTCTCTACCTGCCTTGTAACACAGATGAATAATCTGGGCACTGTACAAGGTACGGAAAGAATATAGTGACCCCACCTTGTATGTCCAGTTTGGAGGGACAGAGGGTGGAGCAGGCTTGAGTTCCAGATGGCTGACCGTGTGCTCTTACTGCCACAAGATTGTGGGCAAAGTCTTCAAGTCTCTTAGCCTCTGTTTCATCATCAGTGAAATGGCAAAGGTAATCATTACTTCGTTATGATTAACCTGTGGGAGAAGGTGTATATAAAACAGTTACAACACTGCCTGCTACCTAGCAAGCTACATCACCACTACTACCAATAAATATATTTTTAAAAGTGTTCACCCTCCCGCCAGCAGAGTGAATTCCTCAAAGATAATGCCACATCTTAGACAGTTTTATACCCCTCTGTGTCTAGCACAAAGCATACAATGCAAATTCAGTGAATGAATGGAGTCATACTGAATTTAATTAGAAAAGTTACACTAAGTGAGTGATGTTCTGTGCAGCTGCTGTGATAAGTCCTTTACCCACATTATCTAATTTTACCTTGAACTCAAACTGTGAGGAAGGTGTTAGTATCTCTATCTTATCGGTGAGGCAAGGAAGCCCAGAGAGCTGAAATGATTTGTTCTACGTCACACAGCTGGTGAATGGCAGAACTGGGATTTGAACCCAGGGCTGGCCAACTCCAGACAGACTGTGATGGGGAGAAGCATCTACCGAGGTGGGAAATGGGGTCAGGGAGGGCTTCACAGGGGAGGAGTCTTGAAGAACAAGCAGGAACTGGCCGGGTGACAAGGTGAGGGGACATTCCAGGTACAGGGTACAGCAAGAGCAGAGACAGAGCAGAACCTGGTCTGGCAGGTGCAGTTCTCACAGTGTTTGGAGCGTCTTGTGTGTGGGTGGCCAGAGGGTTGCTTATGGGGTAGGGATGAGGCATGAAGCTGACTGGATCGCAGGGGTCAGGAGAATCGCTTTAGAGGTTTGGACTTCATCCCGAAGGGGAGGGCAGGGCCAAAGGACATTTTCAAGAAGGGGTATGTGGGTCTCATGATCTTAGGATCATTTCCTCTTTCTGCTGAAGCACTTGGGGGGCCCTAGTGGTCCTTGAAGGCCCCTTCTAAAGGCCCTGAAAAGCCATAACTGTCCCTTCTTTCTAGAGGGACCCCTGAGGCCAGTGGGTGGTGTGTCACCCTCATCTGCCCAGCTCAGAGGCATGACCTTTCTCCTGGCATTCTTACAAGACTGATCCATTCCCACGGACATGCCAGAGCCGACAGAGCCTTCACATGTATGAATAGCTGTCCTGCACTTGTTAGTTCAGTCAACCCATATTCAGTGAGTCCTCAAGAGTCAGTTCGGCAGAGTGGTTAAGTAGCCACTGCCTGGTTTGTGTCCTTGGGAGAGTGTTTGCACCTTGGTGCCTCTGTTTCCCCATATGGCACCTGGAGACAACATCAGTATCCACTTCTCAGTATTGTGAGCCGTCCATGGATAAAGCTGTGCATGTGGTGATGGTTATTATGTATTATCACGACTTAGTAGTAATAAGTGATGGGCTCAGCTGGGATGCACAGCAGAGGGCTGGCACTGGTGCCCAGAAGGCATCTCTGAGGAACCCGGCAGCCTGCCACTAAGCTGGAGATCTGTTCCGAATTTCCCCTGCCAACTGAGGCAGCTCCGGGGGCAGTACCATGAGACTGAAGCCACGGCTTAATCTCTTTGAAACATCACACGAGCCAGCTGGTGCTGCAGCTGGGCTGGCCCTTTACTGCCTGGTTTTGTCTTTTCATCCCTCAGGTTGCAGGGGATGGGAGTGGGGGCTTCCTTTCCACTGGGCAGCTACACAGGCTCTCTTTGGCCGAAGTGCCCAGCAAGGGTGGTTGACGTCCAGATCTTACTTGGTCTTTGATCTGTACCCACTGGCTACTTAATCTCAGCTCTCTGGGGTACTGCTGCCTGATCTGTTCTGGTGGATAATTGCTTTGCTAACCTCCAGAAACCAGAGGGGTGGAGGAGGTCTAAGAAAGGTCATAGTGGGGTGGGTATGAACCAGGTGCTAGGAGCCAGGCAGCCTGAGCTGGACTACCTCTGCTACGTATCAGCTATGATCCTAAGCAAATTACTCCCTCTTCAATGCCTCAGTTTCCCGCTCTGTGAAAAGGGAATAATAAAATTACCCTCCTCATAAGGTATTTGAAGGACTGAAAAATGACATATGCCAAGTGCTTAGTGTACTTGGTATATCCTCAGCATTTCAAGAGTGTGAGCTATTTCTCACTCAAGGGGTTGTAATGAACAGATCCTTTCTGTGCAAATTGCAAAGTACAGGAGGAGAGCAAAAAGTCGCTGTTTACTGCTGTCTGCAGGACAGATGTTTTTTGGGCTTGAGAGTCCATGAATACAAGAGCCGAGGACAGGGTCAACTAAGAGCCATGTGTGCCCCTGTGGTTGACTTGTCTCTCTGACTGGCCAGTGGGGTCCTTCAGAACAGGACCTGGCACATGGTAGGTGCTGACATAGTGCTTACTGGTTCCATGAATAACAAGCAACAGTGACAGTCCCAGGGACCCCATGTGTGTTCAGCATGCAACATCCATCAAATCCCAGTTACCCATTTCTCCCCCAAACTGCAAATGAGGCCAGTGCATAGAATATATATATTTCTGTTCTACTCCATACAAAATATACAACAAATTTATTAATTTCTTTCCCCTTCTCTCTAGCAGGCCCTTGGAGTAATTGTCCCTCAACAGAAATAATATTTCTGCTGGTTTGGCCAAGTGGTAGATCCAGGGAGGTTTTCAAGATAATTTCTAGTTAATTGGTTCTTGAGTAATCTGCAAGGATTCTTCTGGGTTTGCAAACTAGGCTCCCCACTTCATTAAACAGGTTTTCAATTTGCAGTCCACTGACAGCTGTGAGCGGGGTGCCCGCTTCTCACCTCCATCCAAAGCCCCTGCACCCCACGGTGTGGGAAGGGATAGGGATTTGTGGGGACAGGGGAAGGTCAGAGGCCACTTATCTCTGTGAAAAGCATGTGTCATTCCCCCCAGTTTGAAAAGACTAATTGTCCTTTGGGCTCCCCACTTTGGGTTCTGTGAAATTCAAAATTAATGCATCAAATTAATTCTGTGCTCCCGTTGCTCAGGCCGATTAGCACAAATTAAATTTCACACTAATTGGCTGAGGCAGAGAGAAGACAATTCTGCTGCTTGGAATTAATGCTAATTTCAAGGATGGTGGTTAGGGGTGTGACCGGGGCACTTCTGGATTACCCCGCCCTGTGTCGTGTGGCCAGTGTAAATCAGCGCTCTTGCAGCAAGAATGATTTTGCACAGTCTTAAGCAAATCTAACCCCTCCAAATCCAAGTGTAAGGCCAAAATTAGGAGGAGACCCTGGCAATTTCTATGGCAGTAATTCTTAAATTTTGTTGTGTATTAAAATCACCCCGGAGCAGGTTGAAATGTAGATTCCTGACTTACGTTTAGAGATCCTAGTTTGGGGATCCAACAGTCCTAGAATTTGCATTTTATTTTATTTTTTAAGAGACAGGGTCTCACTCTGTCACCCGGGCTGGAGTGCAGTGGTGTGATCATAGCTTACTGCAGCCTAGAGCTCTTGGGATCAACTGATCCTCCTGCCTCAGCTTCCAGAGTAGCTGGGACTATAGGCACACAGCATCTCGACAGGCTAATTTTTTAAAACTTTTTTTGTAGAGCCAGGGTCTTGCTATGTTACCCAGGCTGATCTTCAACTCCTAGACTCAAGTGATCCTCCTGTGTCAGCCTCCCAAAGCACTGGGATTACAAGCATGAACCATCATGCTCTGGCCTAGAATTTGCATTTTAACAAGCATCCGAGGTCATTGCAAGGTACTTCCTGGTGCCCAGGAAGGAACAACAAGAGAAAACTCCCTACTAGGGACAAACAGGAGCATCTCTGAAGAGCCTCTCATTCATTAACTGGTGGTCCTGACTTGGACTGGACAGGTGTGAGTTCAAATCTCAGTTCTGCCACTTACATGTGAGGTGACTTTGCAATGCTTCTCCCAAGCCTTCTTTCTCCTCTGTGTCTATTGAAATATGTATTTTGGTCTCAGCAGTTGGTGATGTGGTCAGTAGGGTGGGAAGCAGATGGGCTGGAGAAGTGAAACAGATGGGGAGCATGGAATGCACAGAGCAGCCTCAGATTTTGTATTTTTTTCACTTTTTCTGAAAGATATTTTGTTTTGTTTTGTGGTTACAAAAGCAGTTAAAAAATCAACAGTACAGAAATACATCACAAGAAAATTGGAGTTCCCTGTGAACCCATCCTTCTAGGAAAAAAAAACCCAATAAACAGTTTGGGAGTGCTTTGTTCTGTGCAAACAAAAATGGGAATACACCAAACATTCTATTCTGCTAATTTGCCTTTTTTCCCCCTTTGGCAATATATCCTGGCAATATATATTCTTGAATGTCAGAGCATAGATTTCCCTCTTCCTTCTTCATGGGACAGCTGAATAAAGTTTGACCCTGCCTGAGCTGACGGTACCAAGAGAGGCTAGCTCAGAAGGGCAGCTACCTTGCTCATCGTAAGAACCCTTTACCTTCTCAGTAAAGATAATTCACAGTTGCCCCTAAATACCAGTCACGACACAGAGGGTCCAATGAAAGAGTGAGGCTTTCTAATATCTTCACATGCAAAATTTATGGCAAGAAGACACGTGACCACACCTAATTCAATGCATGTTACAGCTCAGGCGACCGAGGCTCCAGAGCAGAAGGGATTGTCCAAGGTGTTCGTTGTTGAGGCTGGACTCAAACCTTGTACCCCACCTCTTTATTTTTTTTCAATTCCTCTGCCTCCCTTAAGAGGTAGCCTCAGGGGTCGGGCAAAGTGGCTCATGCCTGTAATTCCAGCACTTTGGGAGGCTGAGGCAGGCAGATCACGAGGTCAGGAGATCGAGACCAACCTGGCTAATAGGGTGAAACCCCCGCCTCTACTAAAAATATAAAAAATCAGCCAGGCGCGGTCCATGTGCCTAAAGTCCCAGCTATTTGGGAGGCTAAGGCAGGAAAATCGCTTGAACTTGGGTGGCAGAGGTTGCAGTGAGCTGAGATTGCACACGTCATTGCACTCCAGTCTGGGCAACAGAGTGAGACTCCCTCCGTTTCAAAAAAAAAGAAAAAAGGAAAGAAAAAGGAGGTAGCCTCAGTTTTATGAGCTACCCTTCTTCTTCATGGGGTTATTTTTCTGCCTCTTGGCCACAAATGCCCCACTAATATATATCTCCCCTTACGTACTCTGCCATATCCTCAAACCCTGAGTGCTTCATTTTGGAACAATAATACCACAGAAGCCCGCTCACTTGGTATCAGTGGCTGGTCAGTTAGCTAGGAAAAAAAAGGCAGTGTAGGTGGGAATTCATTAAAAATTTTCTATTTTAAAATTAATTACACATATAATTTGAATCCCTTTATTTCTGAGGTGGGACCACATCCATTTTTCTTTCTTTCTTAAACCCACACTCCTAATATACAACCATGTGATTTCTGATTTTGGCTTCTTTAAAACAGAGCAAATGGCAAAGCAATTTGAATGCAGAAACCTAATTTTTTACTTCCAGTTTCTTTTTAGTTGTTGTAATGATGCCTGTTTGGCAGCATTTTAAGAAGCAGCTTACCTTTATTAATTCCTTCTAAGGCATTCAACCTAGTTTTCATGGAAATGCCATCCAGCTATACTTTGTAAGTTTATGTAGTAGCTAACTGGATAGCTGTGGTAAAAATGTAATAGGCAAAAGCAGTTTGGGAGAACACGCACTGATGCTGATGTGCATGCCCGTCACCTGCTGCAGGCAGATGGACCATGGGGAACTGTAGAGAGGTGGTCTGACGGAGAACATTTTGGTGCAGTGGGTGTCCATCAGTGTGTCTTACTGAGGGACAGTGTTGGTACAACCTGTGAGATGATTTGCTAAAAGCCGGTTAGGAAGAGATTCCATGCTGGGCACGGTGGCTCATGCCTGTAATCCCAGCACTTTGAGAGGCTGAGGTGGGTGGATCATGAGGTCAGGAGATCAAAATCATCCTGGCTAACACAGCAAAACCCCGTCTCTACTAAAAATACAAAAAATTAGCCAGGTGTGGTGGTACGCACTGGTAGTCCCAACTACTCAGGAGGCCGAGGCAGGAGAATCGCTTGAACCCGGGAGGTGAAGGTTGCAGTGAGCTGAGATCATGCCACTGTATTCCACCTGGGTGACAGAGCAAGACTCTGTCTCAGGAAAAAAAAAGAGATTCCACTAAAATGGCCATTTTTTAAATTGAGCACTTCCTGTGTACCAGGCACAGTTCTGAGCTTTCAATGGATTATCTCCTTGAATCCTCAAAACAACAATGTATGTTGTTTTGCCAGCTTTCAAACTGAGAAACTGAGAACCAGCAAGGCATCCTGCTTGGTGTAAAACCACACAGCTAGTGAGTGTTGGACCAAGAATTCTACCACATCATGACCAGTAAAACTCTGAAGTCCATGCTCTTAACCACTTGGTTATACTCAAGGGTTGCTTCCCCATGATAGCTAGTGATCGGTCCAAAGGTGGTCCTATGCATGGGGAGAAAAGGGTTGGTGGCTCCATTGAGTGACCCTTCCTTGACTGCCCCATTCCGCATCCAGATTGCTGACTTGACCACTGAACTTGCCGATGAGCGCTTCAAAGGTGATGTGGCCTGCCAGGTGCTGGAGAGTGAGCGGGCAGAGCGGCTACAGGCCTTCCGGGAGATCCAGGAGCTCAAGGTGAGTGGTCAGGGATGGCCAGGGCTGGCTGAACACGGTGGCCACGAATGGTTGGGTCTGCCCCCTGACATTCTCATTAGGGATCAGTAAGCTTAGGCAAGATGCACAGGTTGACTGACTGCTGGGCTCAAGATCCTGGGGGACACTTAGGTCTCCTAAGGCTTGGCCTTGGAAGCATTATGGGTGGACGGATAGTCCCTGGCTGGAGAAGCAAATAGGAGAGGATTGGCAGAAGGTGGACAGTCTTTGGGCTTGGAGGTGATTTGGGTGAGAAGTGTGCAGAGGTGCTATCCATGGTCCTGGAGTCTGCATGGGTCAGGGCTGTGCAGAGTGTGGCCGATATGAGCCTTGGAAGCACCGTGGGTAAGACAACCAGCCCAGGTCTGTCCAGAGCTAGTTTGGACCTTGAGCCCTTTCTTCTAGAGCAAGTATGAACAAGTCCAGAAAAAACTGGGAGATGTGAATAAACAGTTGGAAGAAGCCCAGCAGAAAATTCAGTTGAATGACTTGGAAAGGAATCCTGCTGGAGGTAAGAAGCCTGGGACCCTTGGGGCTGGTTGCTGATAGACAAAGTTGTCTTTTCCATGTCTTCAGTCTGTCATAGATGGAGCACTTATTGGGTGCTAGACATTGCATGAGGGGCTGTGACTGTGGCAGAGCAAACAGGCACAGCATTACCCTCTTGGAGCTAACAGTCTAATGGAATAAGCAGACATGAAACGGTCAATCCAACAGTATCCTAGATAGCAAATTAGCCATGTGATATGTGATTTAAAAATAGTGGCTTTATGGGCAAGGTACTTTTATGTTTTGTTTTTGTTTTTGTTTTGAGAGGGAGTCTCACTCTGTCACCAGGCTGGAGTGCAGTGGCGCGATCTCATCTTACCACAACCTCCACCACCTGGGGTTCAAGTGATTCTCCTGCCTCAGCCTCCTGAGTAGCTGGGACTATGCCTGGCTAATTTTTGTATTTTTAGTAGAGACAGGGTTTCACTGTGCTAGCCAGGATGGTCTCAATCTCCTGACCTCATGATCTGCCCTCCTCGGCCTCCCAAAGTGCTGGGATTACAGGTGTAAGCCACGGCACCCAGCCATTTTTAAGTTTATTGAATATTTTAAAAATAAATTTTGAGAGGCCTGGTGTGGTGGCTCACACTTGTAATCCTAGCACTTTGGGAAGCCAAAGTGGGAGAATTGCTTGAGCTCAGGAGTTTAAGACCAACCTGGACAACATAGTGAGACCCCATTTCTACAAAAAATTTAAAAAATTAGCCAGGTGTAGTGGCATGTGCCTATAGTCTCAGCTACTTGGAGGCTGTGGTGGGAGGATCGAGTAAGCCTGGGAGGCCTAGGCTGCATTTCAGCTTGGGCGACAGAGCAAGTCTCAAAAAAATAAAAATAAAAATAAAACATACATTTTGAGGAAGGCAGTCTAGTGGTTAAAAGTTGGAACCTATGAAATTATATTTCTGGATTTGAATTTTGGGCCAAAGAAATTGCTGTACCTCAGTTTCTTCCTCTTTCAAATGGAGATTGTCTTGGATATTATAGAAAATATTTAGCCACATGTGTGGCATGGAGTGATGAATAGCTAATAGCTGCTTTACCATTATTATTATGAGGAATAATGAGATCACAGTCCTTCCTTATAGCAACCTGTGAAACAGAAACTACTGCTCTTCCATTTCACAGACAGTTAAGCTGTGTCAGGCACTCGACAGTTACTGAATGGCAGGAAGGTGAGCGGGCTCTCACTTTTAGCCAGTGGTACTGTACATGCGTTCAGTAGTGAGGAGTTTCTGGGGATGTTCTTCTTACACAGTGGCCTGGAGACATCATCATCGGACAGCATGGTGACATCTTTGCCAGCTTCTCACTGTGCATCTTACTCTCCCAGCCTAATGGAGTTGGGTGAGAAGGCTATCCAGTGGGTCAGTTTCTATAAAATGTCAGCATTATTCCCTCCCTCCCTGTGTCCAGAGAATTTGTGCCCCTGAAGTGTCAGGGACACTCAGAGGAATGGAGGTCAAGGGTCTGTGGAGGAGAGAAATGTGTATTTGTTTTCTGTTCCATTCTTGTTCTTCCATCCTGGCTCCCCTCGTGGCAGGCATTTACCAAGGAGGTTAACACAGACTTTGAGGCTCTCTCATAAAGGAGACCCAACAAGGTAGGGTACACATAGGGAGAGGGAAACATGTTGGTATAGAATCAGTAGTGTGGGACAGTCCTTGGCCTTGGAGGTGATTTATTGATTGATTGATTTATTTTTGAGACAGAGTCTCGCTCTGTCACTCAGGCTAGAGTACGGTGGCCTGATCTTGGCTCACCGCAACCTCCGCCTCCCAGGTTCAAGCAATTCTCCTGTCTCAGCCTCCCAAGTAGCTGGGATTACAGACATGTGCCACCATGCTTGGTTAATTTTCATATTTTTAGTAGAGATGGGGTTTCACCTTGTTGGTCAGGCTGGTCATGAACTTCTGACTTCAGATGATCCACCCACCTCAGCCTCCCAAAGTGCTGGGATTACAGGCATGAGCCATCACGTCCAGCCTTGGAGGTGATTTCTATAAATCCCCAGAGGGGTGCCAGTGTCAGTTCCATCTGCGTGAGATTCACGTCTAAATAATGTTTCCCGGTTTGTTTTTCTTTGGTAAGATCGGGGTGTTAATGAAAGGGGGCCATGTGCTTAGCTCGTCGGCACATTAGTCACAATGCTATAGGCTTTCAGCTCTGGATGCTCATTCCAAGCAGCCAGCCCACAAATATTTTGTTTTTCATTATGAAAGTAATACATACTCATTACGGAAAATTTCTAAGATACTGGAAATTTGGAAGAAGCAGTAAAACATTTTAATCATACCATCGCAGTGGTACTACAGCTGCCTCATTGGTTCAAGATGAAGTATGAATTATTTTTAAAATATGTTTTTCCTTTATGCATGGCTAAATATTTAAAGAGAATCTTTTATGATATGCATTCAGCACTGAGCTGGACACTGTGGGAGTTACAAAGGATTTTTAATTGGATGCTGCTCTCGAGATAGTTGCAATATAAATGGGGAGATCGGGTAAACTCAGGAAAAAAAGGTGACTGGATAGTGAAAGGCTGAAATTATACACATTGATTAGGGGTGGCAACCATGGGCAGGGAAGAGATGAGCCTTGAAGGAGAACAGTTCCCCCTCTTGTTCATGTTGCCCACTCATGCCACTTGCTCTATAGCACATCGTAGCACAGGGCACATGGGCAGCTGCCGAAATGCTTTCTGTTGCTGCTTCTTACTTTTGTGAGCCATGCTGCTTGTGATTGTGAGGCTTTTTCTTTTGGAGAGATAGTGTGTTTTCCTATCATGATATTTTTACCTTGGTGGAAACTTGAGCAAGCTTTAATGCTTTATTATTATGCCATCCTTCATTTGGTTAATGATGTAGAAATCTCTATTGAGGTCACCTCTTTCAAGAACTTAGTCCTACCATCCATCTATCCACCCATTCATCCATCTACCCACCTACCCATCCATCCATTTGTCCATCTACCCATTCATCCATCCATCCACCCATCCATCCATTCACCCATCCATCAATCCATCCATCCATTTATCCATCCGTCCATCCATCATCCACCCACCCACCATTCATCCATTTATCCATCTACCCTACCATTTATTTATCTATCAATCCATGCATTCATCCACCCATGCTCCCACTTATCTGTCCACACTAATATCCATCCATCCATCATTTCGCCTACCTAACTGAATATTTATCCATTAATCTTCCACCACATCATCTATTCAAACATCCTAACCATTCAACTATCCACCTTTCCAGTGAAAGTTATTGAGCATTTTTTTTTTTGAGACAGAGTCTTGCTCCAGGCAGGAGTGCCGAGATTTTGAGACAGAATCTCGGCTCACGGCATTCTCTGCCTCCTCAGTTCAAGCAATTCTCCTGCCTCAGCCTCCCGAGTAGCTGGGACTACAGGTGGGCACCACCACGCCCAGCTAATTTTTGTAATTTTTAGCAGAGACGAGATTTCAGCATGTTGGCCAGAATGGTCTCGATTTCTTGACCTCATGATCCACCCACCTCGGCCTCCCAAAGTGCTCGGATTATAGCCGTGAGCCACCACACCCAGCCTCGAGCATTTACTATATGCTAGGCGGCATTATAGTATATTCTGGGAACACAATGATGAACAAAACAAATTTGTTGTCTTATGAATTTGAGTTCTTTTCTGGATTTTACAAGCCTCTTTATGAAAGCCGTGATCATACCACTTTACTTTATTTGTTACTTTATAGTAAACTAGTATGAAAAAGAACTAGTATGAGAAAGAATCACCTCTGGGTAAATCACCTCTGGGTGATTCAGACAAGTTAACAAAAAGCTGAAAATTAAGTTTCAGCTTTCTTTTTATTTGTCTCCCTTGCTAGATTATTCTGGAAGGTGGGTGGATATGGCTTCTTATTTCATTATCCCTTGCATCTTGTATGAAGTACTGTGCTCAATGAGTGTGTGAATGGATGGAAGGATGGATGGATGGATGGATGATAAATGAATAAGTAGGTGTTCTCTATCTTCAGTCATCCGCTTGTGGAAAGTTTTCCACAGCTCCATTAACTTAATGGGCATGATTCTATTATTCAGATAGTCAAAAAATAAGACATCTTAGTCTAAAATAATCAATTCTAATGAGTCAAACAGTTTTAATCAAACCAGGTAATATTTTTTTGAGATATTTACCAAATCAAGGGAGTTGGTGTTCATCTTATCTTCAGAGACATCTTCTGACCAGTTTAGTAGAGTCTTGAATTACTGCTAATTTACTTATTTGTTAATTCAACCAACAGCCAATGGTTACATACTCTGAGCCACCCCATAAAGGTGGCCAGTAGGATGACTCTTTTTACCTGATTATTGTATTTGGTTCGTTAAGAAATTCATGAGCTTGTATCAACATGTATGGGAATCTACTTATAGGGAACTCTTCCAGAGGGTGTGAAGGACTCACAGAGACTGAAACAGCTCCCTTGCCTTTAAGGAGTATGAAATTTCCTTGGAAAGGGGAAGATATGAATGCACTTGTAGAGACAACTAAGCAGTATAAGGCAACCCATCTTAGAAGAGTGATTAGTCAAGAACTTTAGACAGTTGGGGTGGTCAGGACAGGCTTCCTGGAGGAAGCATTATTTAAAACTCAGACTTAAAGCATAGTTTCTTGGTCCAAGGTTGAAGTTCTGGGACTCCGTGAATATTGTGAAATTGCATGCAAAGAGTCAAGAAAGTGGAGGAGAGCCCCTCTCACTCTTGGCTTACGCTCATTTGGCCTCTTATCCTGGTCTCCCTGCCTCCATTAAACAGCAGATGAGTGGCAGATGCGCTTTGATTGTGCTCAGATGGAGAACGAGTTCCTCAGAAAGCGTCTGCAGCAATGTGAGGAGAGGCTGGACTCGGAGCTGACAGCCAGGAAAGAGCTGGAGCAGAAGGTAAGATGTAGGGATAGTCTTGGCCACCGAAGTGTCAGAGAGTGGGCAGGTTCTCACCTCCACTGTGGGTGATCAAGGTGTTAGCTGACCCTGGGGAGGGAGGAAGAGGACACCAGCCACTTGAGGTTTTTCCATCTTCACTATTAATACAAATGCTGGTCACTGCGAGACATAAAACATATTTCCTCTACATATGGGTCTTCTGTCCAGAGACTGTTCTGTAGTATAAAGAATACAGACATTTACTCAGCATCTCTAAGTTCCAGTTCCATTTCTGCGTGAACGTTGTGGAAGTCACTTAACTCAGATTTCTTACTGCCACATTTTCCCATTGCCTCTATTCTAATCTGCTACCTCCCATCTCTCATCCAGACCAAAGCAACACCCTCCTAATTGTCCTCCTCACCTCTGGCCTCTCCTCTCAAGCAATTGCCACATGGCAGCCAAGGAACTTTTCAGAGTCTCTTTAAATTGTTCTCAGATCACAAAGTGTGCTGACTCTCACGATGGATTTTTTTCCTTGTGTGTTTTGTGAATTTTGTTTTTGAGCTCATCTTTAACAGGTTTCTCTGCTCCTCCCTCAGTAGTTCCAGGTGTTCTGTATTGTGGAATGTTTTTTTCTTCTCTCCCAGTGAGTTTTTGTGTGCCTATTTAGCTATTTTTTTTTTTATTGTGAGTTAATCTTCAGCAGGAGATTTAACTTTTTAAAAACACTCTGTTGATTTTGATGGGAGCCCTTTGATAACAGGGTCGTGGGTGTGTTCTGCTAGAAGAAATCCTTTTTCACTTTCTCTGGCAGCAGTTCCTGAGATAATGCTAAATTCCTCGTCTCAGATTTTTGTGGCGTGTAAAAATTGTCAGTTTTCAAGAGATCCACGTGAAGCTTAGACCTGAGGTTTAAAATTCTTTTGAGAGTACTTTCCCCCGGACCTAGATCCGGGGTGAAAACAAGCTTTCTTACCATCTTCCAGGCCAGCAGGTGGAGCTTTTATTTTGTCTTCTCACTGAGGTGTATGCAGCTCTTTGAGGGGCTTGTCAATGCAAGGGTCTTCATTGCAACTTTTCACCTTCTGTGAGTTCAGAGCCTTGCCTCTTATTTCTGTCTGGGCATTCAGACACAAACCTCTAACCTAAAGGATATTTCTGGACCTACCAACTGCTCTTCTCCCTCATCCTGGCCGCCGTAGTATTAGTATGCACTATTATTGTTAAGGCTTTGTGTCCTCTGCATTTCTGATATCCTGAAATTTCGTTCTTTCAAATCTGATGCAATCTTATCCATATATAATATAAGCTTGTCTAGCCTTTCTAAATGAATGCACAGATAGTTTCGTCTCTTCACTTGTCTTCTGTGGCCTCCAGTGATCCCTCATCTACATCCTAACCAGTTCACACTCTAACAAATGGTGTGCTAGTAAATAGCTCTCCGGAAAAAAGAAAAAGCCCTGATTTGTAGCACTTGCCAATTTCCCTGGTGTAAATACTCCCACTTTGCCAATTTCAAACTACCATTGTGACGTCACTAACATGGAATTTGAAAGAGATGCACAGAATTAGCTCTGTACATCCTTTCAAGTCAGTACTGGTCGACTCCAGCACACCACTGATTCTAGCCACACAGGTTTTTTTTTTCTTTCTCCTTCCAAAAATGCCTGATTCTTTCTCACCTCTGGGACTTTGCATATGCTATTTCTTCTTCCCTGAGCAATCTTTCTTTTTCTCTCCTGCCTAGATATCTCCAACTATTCTTAAGATCTTAGCTTAAATGTCACTCTCTCCAGAAAGTCTTTGCTGACGCAGATTGGGTTGGGAGTCCCTGAGTTGTCTCCTGAAACATAGGCCTCATCATGCTGTATTGTAATTACCTACTTGCTTCATAGTCTCTCCCATTTGATGTAAGAGCCCTAGGGTGGAGGCTGTATTCGTGTATCTCTTCTATTCTCAATGTGAGGGAAAAGTATCATGTGATTGCCTTGCAGAGGTGGGACAGGGTGAGATCACATGGGATTTTATAAACAATGGAAATGACTCTTGATATCCTCCATGCTGGTGGTGACGGTTTTAGTGGTCATTTTCAAGATGAACATTGCGTTGCGGTCCTCAAGAGACATCTGAACCACAGATAAACACAGATGGATACCTGCAAAAAAGCAGCCCAGTTCCCTCATAACAAATTATAAAGTTGAGTCAGTTTCCCTAAGGAAGGGGGATATTTATGCTGCATTAAAAAGTAATAAAACTGCAACCTTTTCTGAGCGGCAGAATATAAGAAAACATCCCATTTGCCTTCAAATGCTGAATTTAGAATTACAGGCTTCATTAACTCAGAGTTTTGCTTATTTAAAGCAATTCTTTAATGAGGCCATTTCTTCAAAGCCAGTGTGCTGAGTTGCATGCTCTTTCCCAGATCCAAACTAGGACATTTGGGAGAGTGTTTCCTGGAAGAAGATGCGAGAGTCTTCGGTTTTGTTTGTTTAAGGCCGTGTGCACTCCTGTGTTGAGTCAGCCCATGCAAAGTCCCGTGTGCACTCCTGTATTGAGTCAGCCCATGCAAAGTCCCGTGTGCACTCCTGTATTGAGTCAGCCCGGGATTCCAGGTCAGATTCTCTAGGTGTGCCATTTTGGCTGCTCTGTGGCTAATCCTCACATATCTCTTCTGATCATGTTGGGATGAGTTATATCTGGCAGTTCAGGGGGTCATCAAGTTGAGGGAGGGTAGGTAAAATCTGTGGGTGCATTGGCTGGAGGTTTATTGAGCAAAAGCGAAACCAACCTTGAGATTGAAGAAATTATTCCCACTTTACCTCTGAGAAAACTGAGGCTCAGAACAGTGGCTTCTAGGAGGAAGGTAGTAAAGACAGGGTCTCCCCGTTCCAGCATCTGCTGTTTTCTCATTACACACCTTGGAAACAGCAACCCCTTGAAATGCAAAGTCAAAAGCCCATTCTATGCCCACAGAACTGAGTAATTCATTCTATTACCCTTACAGCTCGGGGAGCTGCAAAGCGCTTATGAGGGGGCCAGGAAGATGGCTCAGCAACTGAAGAGGAAGTGCCACCATCTTACCTGTGACCTGGAGGACACCCGTGTCCTGCTAGAGAACCAACAGAGTCGAAACCATGAGCTAGAGAAGAAGCAGAAGAAGTGAGTGGCATCCCCCACTGTCGCCTGGGCTGCCAGGGTGGGCTACATTGGAGCTGGGGTTTTCTGGGTGTCTAGGTTCTCCTTCTAACCCCCTCACTTCTGCCAGGTCCACTAGACTTTACCCCCTTGTTCTGCGCTGATCTTCCTCCCTGCTGACTCCTCTATGGTTCTCCCAAGAATCCAGCAATAAAATGATTCTTTTCTCTTAGCCAGCCTCAGCTACATTGACCATTGGCCATATGACCTTGAGGAACGTTCTTTGCCTTTCTGGGTCTTAACATCCCCATTTGTTGAGTGAAGGGTTTGTTGCAGATTCAAGACTGTATGGTGATTAGGAGCCCAGGCACTGATGTTAAAGTCATCTCATTCAAGTCCTGAAGGTGCCTCTCTCTAGATGTGTGACTTTGAGCAGGTCATTCAGCCCTTCCCAGCTGGATCCTTATCTATTGTTTGGGGATAATATGGCCCCCTTGTGATAAGGGCTAAATGATGCAGTCAGTACATCCAAGTGGACTGATCCTGGTTCCTATTCCCATTGGTGAAAATCGGGCTGGAGAATAATGAGGAGGCCAAAATATGGCCTTCTTATTTAGGATGTGGACTCTCAGATCATGTGAGCCATTCTGGCAGAGATTGGGCCTCATGCACCAGCAAGATGCTAATCTTGAATCTGCACAGTGTGGTTCCCATGCTTGTGTTCCCTTTAGGTTGCTATCACAGTGAGGTAATGGTGGAGCCTGGATTTGCACTCATATTCGCACACTCATAGGGTTCTTCATGCAAAACCTCAGACCCTGTGATGCTTGGACACCTTGGCTGTGTCTAAAGTTCTCTGGCTCATTTGGTGAGGGTAAAGGTATACAGGGGTCCTGTTTTGAGCCAACCAAGTCCTAATGGAGATGTCATAGAAAGAAAATAGGTGGGAAGCAGCCTCTTTTAGAAGACCCATGATAAAATACAGAAAAATGTTCCTGCGTGAGCCAAGATGTGATTTTGTGGGAGCTGCCTCCTTTCCAAGAAGTAGCAAGCTGAATTCTATTTCCTTGGAGGTGGCATAGATTTTGAACTTGATCTGCATTAAATATTGTTTCCCTTATTTATCCTTCAGCTTTCCTGAGCTGGCCTCTTCATTTGAAAAAGGTCTTTTGGGTGATTGTCAGCATGCTCTCCATCCCCAAAATAAGAGAGGCTTATTTTTTGTTTATGGATATCTCACTCTGTTCCCTTTTCCACCTCCCTACGGGGCTCTGGCTGAACCTTACCCTTGCAGTGGGGAAAATGACTTGGCTCCATCTTGGCCACCTGCTGTGTGACCTTGGAAAAAACACCACCTCTCTGGACCAGAGCGTGACTGATGTTTCAGATGAGTCCTTGGACTTAATAGGTCATCTGATCTTGAAGAATTGGTCTGACATATAATCCTGTCTGTGAAATAAGAGGTTTGGACTCCGTCAATCCCTAGGTTTCTCCCAGCTATGACCCTCTTGGCCTCCAACTTTTCTGAGAGGCCTAACAGGGTTTCAGCTCTCTGGTGAGTAAGGGCGAAGCCTCTGGAATTTGCACAGACAGAAAAATCCCATCTTTGCCTTGTGTAGTGGCTCATACCTGTAATCCCAGCATTTTGGGACACCAAGGCGGGCAGATCACCTGAGGTCGGGAGTTTGAGACCAGCCTGACCAACATGAAGAAGCCCCATCTCTACCCAAAAATACAAAATTAGCTGGGTATGGTGGCACATGCCTGTAATCCCAGCTACTTGGGAGGCTGAGGCAGGAGAAGTGCTTGAACCCAGGAGGCTGAGGTGGTGGTGAGCCATGATCTTACCATCGCACTGCAGCCTGGGCAACAAGAATGAAACTCCTTCTCAAGAAAAAAAGAAAAGAAAGAAAATCCATCTCTCTGGTCTTTCCTTTTCCCTTTGGACAGAATCCCTCATTCCAGGGACTTATGAATCTCCCCATGATACCCCCCAAGGGAAGTTCCTATTTCTTCATATTTGCATGTCCTCCTCTCAAAACTCAGCTGTCTTGTGATGCCCTCTGCTCTGTGACCATCTCTTGGCAGATGCTAAGTTATGTTTTGATGCCAGTTGCAGATAGCAGGCATTACCTTTCCAGCTGGGTTAGCATTTTATTAGAGACCCTATCGGGGAAGCAGAAGTCTTAGTCTAACTCTGGAGGTTCAGGCAGAATGACTATGGTGAAGGAAAGATCCAGAAGTCAGTAACACTTCCTTGCATTTAGAAGTCAGTAACACTTCCTTGCATCTCCCCAGGCTTAATCAAAATGTAGATGCAGCTGCCTCCTGAGTTTGCTAGGCCCAGGACAGAGTGATGTCTCCACATTGGTAGAATTCCCTATTTTCCGCCTTGGCTTCTAAGTTCAGAGTGGCCTGGAATGGTTTCATTTTGGTTGGATTTTTGTTGGCATGATTACCCTATGGGTCATAAAGCTGGGTTCTGAGGGCTGATGGAACTCAGAGTAAGCCCAGTGCTAGACTCACTGACTACCACACTCAAGGGAGGCTGGACCCAAGGCCCTTTCTTAGCAGGGCGAAGGTTGTATGCAAACCTATCTGGCCTCAGGCAATTGGCTGGTCAGTGTGTACTGTTTGCTAGGAGTTGGGGTCTGTGGTAGCTACTCTTGTTTTTGTTTTTGTTTTTGAGACAGAGTCATGCTCTGTTGCCCAGGCTGGAGTGCAATGGCTCAATCTCAGCTCCACTGCAACCTCCTCCTCCTGGGTTCAAGCGATTCTCCTGCCTCAGCCTCCTAAGTAACTGGGACTACAGGCACATGCCACCATGTCCAGCAGCTAAATTTTGTATTTTTAGTAGAGACAGGGTTTTACCATGTTGGCCAAGATGGTGTCGATCTCTTAACCTGGTTATCCACCCACCTCGGTCTCCCAAAGTGTTGGGATTACAGGGGTGAGCCACTGCGCCCAGCCTATAGTAGCTATTCTTTGGCATCAAGTAGCCTGTTAAGTCAAGGACTCCTCTGCAACATTGGTTACTGTCTGACCCCTACTGTCTTACCTCATCTGTCCCAGGAATGGACAAGTAGATGGGGGACCCAAGTCCACTTCCATCACTTTGGAATTTGGAGCTGACTCACTCTTCTCTGAACTTCAGTTTCCTCCTTGGTGAATGGATCGAATAACATGTTTCTTGCTAAACAGTTGTAAGGGCAACATGGACCCCAACCCAGGACCTGGCACACTGGGACAGCCGGATCATCACTCTCATCACAATGCTTCCATTCAGAGGCAGCAGATAGTGCCTCTTGAATGATGTCACCAACAGCCAATCAGAAAGCTCCTGAGCTGTTCCAACAGGAGGGCTCCCTTATTTGACCCATGATTGGGTCCCTCAGGAGTCTGAGACTTTGAATGATAGTCTAGTATTAAGGAACATTGGATAATCTTGTTGACAAGGGAGGCTTTCTTGTCCCCAAAGCCCAAACCCCATGCCCACTTCTGCAATATCAAGATCTCTGGAGCAATGGGATTTTCTGTTTGGGCCAAGGGCAAGTGACTCAAAGTCACACCTTACCGAGGCTTGGCAAAGGCTTTTGTACCGGTTTCCTCATCTGTGATACAGCCAGGAGGCCGAGACAACTAAACAGAGTGACGTCACATCCGGGAAGTGCTTCGCACCCAGTGGTCATCACAGAAGGGCAGGAGGGCCCCTAACAAGACATTGATTCCCTGGATGACTTTCAGTAGGACTATCTAGTTTTCTTGTTTCTGCTGGAGAAACAAATGAGGACAAGAATGTATAAGTGTCCATCATTCTATCAATAATCAGCATGCTTTAGTATGGCATATTAGAGTATAAATCAGACAATATGTTAAAATATGAAGTGTCAGCCGGGCATGGTGGCTCACACCTATAATCCCAGCTCTTTGGGAGGCCAAGGTGGGCAATCACGAGATCAGGAGATTGAGATCATCCTGGCCAACCTGGCGAAACCCCGTCTCTACTAAAAATACAAAAACTTAGTTGGGCGTGGTGGTGAGTTCCTGTAGTCCCAGCTACTGGGGAGGCTAAGGCAGGAGAATTGCTTGAACCCAGGAGATGGAGGTTGCAGTGAGCCAAGATGGTGCCACTGCACTCTAGGCTGGGCGACAGAGCAAGACTCTGTCTCAAAAAAAAAAAAAAGTGAAATGTAGAATATCCTCTTTCTACATACATCCACTGGTTTGTTCATTGGTCAGCAAATATTGGAAATCAAATGGGGCCTGGTAGATTTAAGGGGCCTTGACCTTGATATATGCTGGCAGACCAGATAGATAAGGCTTTTTTTTTTTTTTTTTGAGACAAGGTCTTGCTCTGTCACTCAGGCTGGAGTGCAGTGGCACAATCATGGCTCACTGCAGCCTTGACCTCCTGGGCTCAAGCGATCCTCCATCAGCCTCTGGAGTACCCAGGATTACAAGTGCATGCCAATTTTGCCAAGTGCAGCTAATTAAAAAAAATTTAAATAGAGATTGGGTCTCACTTTGTTGACCAGGCTGGTCTTTAGCCCCTGGCCTCAGGTGATCAGTCCTCCTACCTTGGCCTCTCAAAGTGTTGAGATTAGAGGCAGGAGCCACCACGCCTGGCTGCCTTTTAAAATATATCCTTTATTCTATATCTGTATATAGTTTTTTCTATTTTTGTTTTTGTCCATGTATTTTATTATGTTTTGGGGTTAGGATTTAGATTAGCATTTTAGTAGGGAGCTATGGGGGCAGCAGAAGTCTCAGTCTAACGGTGGAAATTCAGGCAGAATGATTATGGTGAGGAAGAAATTTAGTATAACAAGTATCAAGTATTTTTGTGGCAACTTCATCTAAACCCTCAAAATTGCTCTGTGGTTTTTCAGATTCCCACCCTACGTCCACAGCCTTATGTAAAAGCATTGAAGAAAACTTCCAACTTTTCATTCTTTCACTCTCTCTTTCTTCCTTTTGCTCTCTTTCTCATGGTTCTTGGGAAACTGGCAGCCTCTCTGCAGCCCCTTTCTGCCTCTGCCTCCGTCACTCCCCTACCCCTTTCTCATGGTTCTTGGGAAACTAGCAGCCTCTCTGCAGCCCCTTTCTGCCTCTGCCTCCGTCACTCCCCTACCCCTTTCTCATGGTTCTTGGGAAACTAGCAGCCTCTCTGCAGCCCCTTTCTGCCTCTGCCTCCGTCACTCCCCTACCCCTTTCTCATGGTTCTTGGGAAACTAGCAGCCTCTCTGCAGCCCCTTTCTGCCTCTGCCTCCGTCACTCCCCTACCCCTTTCTCATGGTTCTTGGGAAACTAGCAGCCTCTCTGCAGCCCCTTTCTGCCTCTGCCTCCATCACTCCCCTACCCATCTGCCTACAGTACCCTGACACGTGTTGTGCTTTGGACAGGTTTGACCTGCAGCTGGCCCAGGCCCTAGGTGAGTCTGTGTTTGAAAAGGGTCTCCGCGAGAAAGTGACCCAGGAGAACACCAGTGTCCGGTGGGAGCTAGGCCAGCTGCAGCAGCAGTTGAAGGTAAGAAATTGGGGGGGGCACAGAGCTATCTTGGCTCTTGGTGGCTGAATCTCAGGAAACTCCACCATGCACCTGCTGCAATGGTGACAGAGAAAAAGCTTCACAACAGTATCCTGGTCTGTCAAGCAGCTGGGTCCCAGTGTGTCTTAATAAAATAGCAAACAGTGACTGGCAAATTGATAATCAGACTTTGTTTGATCAAGCTTGATGTCTTGATCTTGCTCCAGTTACCTGCACAGGTTCCGAGGTGCTTACTTGGGAGGTGTGACAGGCTCAGCAGAGAATGAGTTAGCTATAACCTTGTCCAGGAGAGATGTCACTAAAATACAACACAGGTGCCTCATTCAGCTGCTCCTCATCCTTTTGTGGCTCCCTACTACTCCAAGGAGAACCTTGAAGCGCTTTAGCCTGGCATTCAGCTCCTTTACGATCTAGCCCAAAGTTATTTGATCCTGGAGCTGACTTTCTAACCTGGAAGAGTAATTTCTGAGCACTTTGCCTCCCTGCTCCAACATCTCAATCCCAGCCTCAGAAGGCACACAGGAAGCTTTAACTATGTGCCTCCACTTCCCTTACAAATGGGGTCAACCCTTCCTGTAGATGCTATGAGATTCATCTCTAGGGACAATCTACTCCAATCCCACCTCCAACCCCAACTCCATGCCTGTATGAGCCCTGCAGAGAGCAGCCCTTGCTGGTATCCCACAGGGGGGCGCTGTGAGGGGCCTTGCGGTCCAGGTGGAGAGGGCAGGCATTGGAAAGTGGAAAGCCCTACTCTAGCCCCATCAGGTGTAGAGGTATTCCTCGGGGAGGAGGGAGGCATACTTCTGTGAGTCCCAGTCTCTGTCCTCTTTGTCTCTGTAGCAAAAGGAGCAGGAAACTTTGCAGCTGAAGCAGGAGGTGGAGATGCTACAGGACCATAAACGGGAGCTGCTGGGATCACCATCTCTGGGGGAAAATTGTGTTGCTGGCTTGAAGGAGAGACTCTGGAAGTTGGAATCCAGTGCCATTGAGCAGCAGAAAATCCAGAGCCAGCAGGAAAGCACCATAAAGCAGCTGGAGCAGGTAGGGAAGCCCTGTCCCAGGCAACACCCTGTCCCATGTCTCCAATGCAGAGTGGTGGTGTTATTAAAATACAGCATGGGTGCCTCACTTGGCTGCTCTTTATCCTTCAATACTCCCTATTATCCCAGGGAACCTTTTTAAGCTCCTAAGTCTGACGTTCAGATCCTTTCTGATCCAGATCCCTCCTGCAAGGTTCAATGTCACCTCCTCAGGGAAGCCTGCCTTAATCACCTTGCAAATAGCTCCCGCTATGTTGCACTCATTTTCCATCTCCTTAGCTGGGTTGCTTTCCTTTGTGGTACCTGCCATCATATTAGATAGTATTTTTTAGAAGTTTGCTTTATGCCTTTCTCTCTCATTAGGATATAAGCTGCATGGCATCGGATTGTTTCTGTTTCTTGCCTCTTAGTGCAATCTTAGAGCATAGAATGAGTCCAGGTAAATAGCGGATGCTCAGTAAATAGCTGTTGACCAGGTATCTAATCCACTGGGTACTGTCTGTATACTAAACTCAGCCCTAAGCTCTCCCCATGCATCTTTTCATGAATCTCCATGAGAACCTTATGTAGGGAGATCTTAGTATTATCCTCACTTTACAGATGTGGAAGTTGAGACTCAGAGACATGGAGACATTGGAACCTGTGGCATCTGACCCCACCCTGCCTTGATTGTATACCATGTGCTAGGCATTGTGTGCAGCTTGGAGGCAGACTGAAGTGCTACTCTTTGGGAAAAATAAAATAACCAAGGGAATAAGACAAAGATACTGAATGCTCTTGGACCAATACCCTCTGCAAAGTATCAGATGAATATTTTATTTGTCTGCTTGCTTATTTATATGCGTATTTACCTCATTCTATAAATAATTTGAAGCAGCTTACAAGATATATGTATAATAGAATACAAAACGTATAAACAAAACAAACCAGAAAAGTACAAATTAAAATATACACAAAGGAGGTGAGTGGCGGCAGCAAATTAATATGCAGATGAAGCAAAACATATGGTCTTATGTACATAACAGTTTTAGCTCTAAAATTCCTGGTGGCCAGAGAGAAAAAGGAAATGTGACTTATGAGCTTCTTATGATCCCTGAGATTTTAAAAAAACATTCTAGGGGAAGTATGGCTTTTTCTGATGCTTGCCTCTAAACGAATTTCTCATGTGGGATTTTGTAAAAGGCACTTATTTTTAATTGTGTGTGTTTTCTTTAAATGCTGGGGCCATCCATATGCAGGAAAATCTGACCAGGTGGCACAAAATTTGTAAAGCAGATGAACTCTGAGCAGCTCTGTTGAACTGAAGAGGGGATGGGTGGGACAGGGGTTGTGGGAGCCAGGGATCAGCTCTTGCTTCTTGCTAACTGCTGCTCCATCAAAATGGAGCCTAGTGAGTAACAAGACATGAGTGGTGTATGTTGGGGAACAGGGTCCAAAAAGTCTTGGATGCTCATTAAAGAGCAATAAAGAAGACAAGTCCTCTACTTAGTCAGCCTGTATTTATTAAATACTTCCTCTGCATCATGCACTCTGTGGATGCTTTGGGTGCAATTTCAAATAAGACAGACACAGTCTGTGCCCTCCCAAAGTTTACAGTCATGCTTAGTGTTAGGGGAATGTTAAACTTGAAGATCCGGTCATGGAAGCGGGATTTGGGGGAGAGATGAGGGAAAACTTCCTGGAAGAAGTGACATTTACTGAAGTGGAAAGCAGGAGGATGATTCAGAGTTGGATGAATGAGAGAGTTCCAGGCAATGGGAACAGCCTGTGCAAAAGTCTGGAGACGGGATAGTCATGGGATATTCAAAGAGCGGTAATACGTGGTCTTTGAGACAGCTTGTTGCCTTTATGACCCTGTTTTCTCCAGACGTCGGTTTCCTCATCTGTACAATGAAATATGGAGCCTTATCCCTTCCTTAGCTTCCTGCCAACCACAGCTATGAATCAGTGAAGGTTTGTGAAGAAGGTGGAATATCTGTGTAGGTCTTTAAAGGGCATGGATGACAGTGCAGTGCCATATAGTCACCCACTATTCCTTGTGTTCCTTAAATGAGCAGGATCTTCACAGAGCCAAGAATAAAACAAGCCCTTTTGAAAACTGTGTTAACTCTTTGAGAGACCACTGGGGGACCACTTGGTGCTTGGAAGCAGAAATGTACCACCATGACCTCAGGGACCCAAAACTTAATTCCCATGCTCAGTTCACCCAGGAGGTGAGGCTGACTCAACACTTTTATCTGTCTTCAGCTTCACCCATAACCTCAAGCTGCATTGTGCCCTTGTAGACATCCAGTAGATATTTATTGATTATAAGGCAGCACTTTTTCCAGGGAATTTTATGTTAACTCATATAAGTTTGACATAAATGGTATTGCAGATGTCAAGAATGTCCAAGAGGCTAGAAAAAATGAAAAAGAAATATTATATTTACTTGCTCAGGCTCCTTGGTTTTGGATTATCTTCCCATAACCCCTGTCATTTTAAAGGGATAAAAGGCAAGAAGTTGACATTTAAAGTGAGCCTACTTTATGCCAGGAACTGTAACAGGGCCTTTGATGTACCACTTTCCATTTTGCTCCTCACCGTGGCATAGCAAGGAATATTATCGACATTTTAAAAGACCCAGATTGTTTTTTTCTAACTTAATTTCCATGTTGGGGACAGCACTTGTGAAGTTCAAGAAGCTTGGTGAGACCATGCGTGGTGGCTCATGCCTGTAGTCCCAACACTTTGGGAGGCTGAGGCAGGTGGATCAGAAGGTCAGGACCATCCTGGTCAACATGGTGACACCCCATCTCTACTAAACAAACAAACAAACGAACAAACAAACGAAAAACAACCAGCTGGGCGTGGTGGCACATGCCTGTAGTCCCAGTTACTCAGGAGGCTGATGCAGGAGAATCACTTGAATCTGGGAAGCAGAGGTTGCAGTGAGCCGAGATCATGCCAGTGCACTCCAGCCTGATGACTCTGTCAAAAAACAAACAAAACAAAACAAAACAAAAACAAAAACAAAAAACCCAGAGGCTTGGTGAGAGCTGCTATAGAGTAAACGATCAGAAAGTTACCATTTCTAAAATGTAACCCATTGCATTAGTCTGTTTTCACACTGCTGTTAAGAACTCCCTGAGACTGGGTAATTTAGGAAAAAAGGAGGTTTAATTGACTTACAGTTCTGCATGGCTGGGGAGGCCTCAGGAAACTTAACAATCATGGTGGAAGGGGAAGCTGGCAAGTCTTACATGGCTGCAGGCTAGAGAGAGCATGTGAAGCAGGAGCTGTCAAACACTTATAAAACCATCAGATCTTGTGAGAACTCATTCACTATCATGAGAACAGTACAGGGGAAACCATACCCACCCCCCCACCCCCCCACACACACCCCGCACCGGTTCAGTCACCTCCTATCAGGTCCTTCCCTTGACATGCAGGGATTATGGGAATTACAATTCAAAATGAGATGTAGGTGGGGACAGAGAGCCAAACCACATCACCCACCTACACTATTGAGTTCCAAATGCTTTTTCATGGGCCAGTAGCATTAAAGAGTGTAGATAGATAAATGAAAGCTTCAGAGCGTAGATTCTTGGACCCTGTACCCTGAAGATTCTAATCCAGCAGTTCTAGGGTGAAGCCCTGCAGTTCGAATGCTTTAAAAATGCATTTGTCATTCTAATGTGCCACAAAACTTGGGAAGCCAGGGCTTGGGCCAGTCTGTCAGTTACGCAGATCAGGAAAATGAAGTCTTGAACTCGAGCTAGATCTCATGACTTTTTTGCTCAACTCTAGGACCTTTCATATGACTTCACACAGTGTTATGCACAGCTCTGTGCCTGTTGCTTGTGTTTTGGAGGTTCTCGTCTAAAAGACCCGGCTCATTCATGGGATCACAGCTCTTTTTATTTTTATTTTTTTATTTTAAAACTTCTTTAATAATCTCTTCCTCAACATATGTCTGTATTGTCTTTGAGCCAAATATTTCTTCTAAGTAGCTATGTACTTTATACAATAAGGAATATCTTGGTGGTTTTATCCAATTATTCACAAAACCACATTATTTTTCTGATTTGACTATCCAAATCATCAGTAAAAATTAAGAGTTTTTAAATTGTGTTTTAGGTTTTGGGGTACATGTGAAGAACATGCAAGATAGTTGCATAGGTACACACGTGGCAGTGTGATTTGCTACCTTCCTCCCCTTCACCTATATCTGGCATTTCTCCCCATGCTCTCTCTCCCCAACTCCCCACCCCCCACTGTCCCTCCTCTATTCCCCGCAACAGACCCCAGTGTGTAGTGCTCCCCTCCCTGTGTCCATGTGTTCTCATTGTTCAACACCCACCTATGAGTTAGAACATGCAATATTTCATTTTCTGTTCTTGTGTCAGTTTGCTGAGAATGATGCTCTCCAGGTTCACCCATGTCTCTACAAAGGACACTCATTGTTTTTGATGGCTGCATAATATTTCATGGTGTATATGTGCCACATTTTAGTCTATCATCGATGGGCATTTGGGCTGGTTCCAGGTCTTTGCTATTGTAAACAGTGCTGCAGTGAACATTCGTGTGCATGTGTCCTTATAGTAGAATGATTTATAATCCTTTGAATATATACCCAGTAATGGGATTGCTGGGTCAAATGGAATTTCTATTTCTAAGGCCTTGAGGAATCACCACACTGTCTTCTACAATGGTTGAACTAATTTACACTCCCACCAGCAGTGTAAAAGGGGATCACAGCTCTTAATTATGTCAGATTCCCTGGGAGGGAGGGGATAGTCTTTTCTGTTTTTGAAATAATGGGGAAAGAGAAAGTAATATTTATGTATCAGGTACTGTGCTAGGTGCTTTATATGATCTCATTTAATTCTCATAGTAGAATGCTACATTCTAAGATGGTTGTTTTCTGCAGAGAAAGGGGACTGACCCAGAGGTTGAGTGAAATGTCTAAGAACGTTTTGGGCAAGTCGTTTTCTTTTTCAGGCTTTCATGTCTTCATAAACGTTTGTCCTACCATTTATCTACCCATCCACCCACCCAGAACGCTGATGCCTGCTCCAGGAAGGAGAAATGTGTTTCATCTTAAGTGTGTTGAGAAGGATTCTGAGGCTGTGTCTGAACTCAATGGGAGAGTGTGATTAATGAGTGATGTCTGTTACAAGCACAAGAATGGGTAGAGGCAATATTTAATCTATTCCCCCCTCCATTTATGATCTTCCAGGATGCCTAGGGAAATAACCTGACTCTCATTTATACATTCCACAAATGAAAAATGCAATTGCAATGCCAAGGATGACATGGAGGGCTTGGAGGGTTAGAATGGGCTCTCCTCACGTGCTGTCCTTGCCATCCCCCCAGCTCCGCCAGCGGTTTGAGCTGGAGATTGAGCGGATGAAGCAGATGCACCAGAAGGACCGTGAGGACCAGGAGGAGGAACTGGAGGATGTCCGTCAGTCCTGCCAGAAGCGGGTATGTGAGCAATGAACATAGCTATGCCCTTGGGTCCTGGCAGGTCTGGTATGGATGCTGTCTTCCATAGAGTGAGGAGAAGGGCAGGGTCTGGGATCTGGGGACAAGGTCTCTGCAACCACCTGACACCTTAGCTTTGAGGTGCCTTCAAGGGTGTAGGAACGGAAGTGCCCATCTTAAATATGATCTTGGAACTTCCAGAAGCTTCTGGAAGCTCCAGCATAATGGCTCAGAGATTTCTTTTTTTTTTTGAGACGGAGTGTTGCTCTATCACCTAGAGCTGGAGTGCAGTGGCACAATCTCTGTTCACTGCAACCTCCGCTTCCCCGGGCTCAAGCAAGGCTCCTGTCTTAGCCTCCTGAGTAGCTGGGACCGCAGGTGCCTGCCACCATGCCCAGCTAATTTTTGTATTTTTAGTAGAGATGGAGGGAGTTTCACCATGTTGGCCAGGCTGGTCTCAAACTCCTGACCTCAGGTTATCTGCCTGCCTCTGCCCCCCGAGTACTGGGATTACAGGTGTGAGCCATTGTGCCCGGCTGAGATAAACATTGTTAGAGACGTACTGATGGATGTGAATGTAGGATCTTCAGAGTAGAATTGCTGGAAAGCTTCAGGTTAAACCTTGTTGAACAAGTTCTCACATGTCCTCTATAATGACCTTCCCTCCCTTCTCATCCCCTGAATCATACCTGTGTACAGAATGTACTCATCTTTGCCTTGCTTGGTATGTAGTTTTTATTATTTTGTATATTTTTCAAGATGAGTTTAGCTTTTCCAGTCTTTATTCTAGAAACAGATATAAAGAGTGCCTTGTATTTCTCTCAGTCCTAAAAGAAATGTTTGAAACGAGCTTGCTTTCTATAGAAGTGACCATCAATCTGTACTTTTTTTCCCCCTCCGTGAGTTAGGAGATGGAAGCTCCCTGTTCTTGCCCATGTTTCTTCAGGTGAAGGTCGCACACACTTCTGGTTTATTCTAAGAATGTCTCAAAGTATGGTGTGTGCCCTGAGCCAGGCCTCCAATGAGTTGGAGATGTGACCTAGACTCTCCTGAGGCTTTTCTCTGACAGTGAAGTCAGTGAAGTCAGAGAAAGGTGTTTTTCTCCTCATGACAAACACTGATATTGACTTCTCATTCTGGTGACTGCTCTGTGCAGTCTTTCTCTCATGTTGGCAGGAAATCAATAGTTAGTGACCTGGGTGGGAACGCTGGGGCCATCTGGGGTGGCAGAAAGAGCTGGGGTCAGGAGACAGAACACTAACTCCTCTAAACAGCAACTAATTTCAGAGTATGCACTTCGGATCCTCCCTGGGACTTAGTTTGCCCACCAGTGAAATAGGATCTCTGATGGCATGAGGTGGAAATGGAGGATGGAGGGGATGAGTATATTAGAGAGGCTGGTAGGAGGTGGTCTGCAAAGCACAGCCAGAGAGGGATGTTTGCTCTAGGGAGAAATGCCTGTGTTTGCTGGGTAATTGCTGAGATATCAGAGCCAGTTGCAAGTTAAACGAGTTGCTCAGAGTCAGATGTCTTAGTTCAGGCTGCTGTAGCAGAATGCCATTGTGTATGTGGCTTAAATGGCAAACATTTATTTATCACGGTTCTGGAGGCTGGGATGTCTGAGATCAAGGTGCTGGCAGATTCAGTGTTTGGTGAGGGCTCTCTTCCTGTCTTGCAGACCACCACCTCCTATTTGTACACTCACATGGCAGAGAAAGAGAGAGAAGAAGACAGATCTGTGGTGTCTCTTCTTATGAAGGCGCTCATCCCACCATGAAAGCTGCACCTTCATGGCCTCATCTAAACATAATCACCTCCCTCAGGCCCCACCTCCAGATACCATGGCATTGAGGGTTAGGGCTTCACAATATGAATTCTGGAGGGACACATATAGTTCATAACACCAAATAATCTGAAATGCAACTTTTTTTTACTGCATCATGGTGTATTTAATAAAGGAGGGGGATGCATCTTGATATGTTGGTTATAATATTGTGAAGAGCCTTCAAAAATCAGAGTGTGCCAGGCGTGGTCCCAGCACTTTGGGAGGCCGAGAGGGGCAGATCATGAGCTCAGGAGTTCAAGAGCAGACTGGCCAACATAGTAAAATCCCGTCTCTACTAAAAATACAAAAAATTAGCCAGATCAGGGGTCAGGCACCTGTAATCCCAGTTACTCCAGAGGCTGAGGCAGGAGAATCACTTGAACTTGGGAGTTGGAGGTTTTAGTGAGCTGAGATTGCACCATTGCACTCCAGCCCAGGTGATAGTGTGAAACTCTTTCTTAAAAAAAAAAAAAAGAACACACAGAGTTCAAAGACTTGCAAATATTCAAGCAGTGGCCAAGGCTACAGAAAGGACACCTCTATTCTATTGGGGAGCTGGGGGGGCGGTTACATAGTCAGTGGTGTGGGGTTTCGCATCATTGATCAGCCCTCCCTACTGTTGCCCAGCTCCCAAGCTTTGAGGCTCTCAGGTTCTCCCACAGAGGCACCACCTCCCAATCACTAGGGCAGCCTCATGCAACAAAGCCACAAGCTTCACATCCCTCTTCCTCCTGAGGGTTCTTGCCTTGGGGGATTTGTCCAGATGGATGTCATTTACCCTGTGTATGCATCCACAGCTCCGTCAGCTAGAAATGCAGCTGGAGCAAGAATATGAAGAGAAGCAGATGGTTCTCCATGAGAAGCAAGATTTGGAAGGCTTGATTGGAACCCTCTGTGACCAGGTAAGCAAGAAACCAACAGCAGACATTCAGAGGGACATGCTCCCTGTCTCAGGGACCTACTCGAGAAATGGACTGGTGGGAAAATAGCTTGAGGTATACCCTCTCCTCCATCAGCTCTGTTCCCACCATATTTACCAGCTCTTCACAGGAGAGCATCAGGTGCCTGCAAACAGCAGGGTTTTGTAAGAACCCATGGAGAATAAACAGAGTGGACCCAGCCAGCAGCTATGGATGAGGTTGTCTTTGCCTTCAGCAGCTGTTGAGGGTCAGAGTGTAGACAGTTCTTCCTCTAGGGGGATGTATGTGAATGGCCACTACATTCATGACTACCCTTCTGAGAACATGACTTTTGCTAGAAGCTGTCAGCCTTGGAGTTGGGTAAATGTAGCTTTAAGCCCCAGAGGGCCCACTTCTGTCTACATGGCTTTTAGTGAGCTAGTTAACCGCTCTGAGCTTCTGATTGGAGCCTTATGGCATGTGGCTATCGCTGTACACTGGGGTTCTCAAGTGCCCGTCAGTGTGCACCTGGGTCCTCACACCGCTATGAACATTTGGAGCTGGATCATTCCTTATGGTAGAGGGCTGTCCTGTGCATTGTGGGGTACCACACAGCATCCATGACCTCTCCCCACTGCATCCCAGTAGCACACACCTCAGTTGTGACGGCCAGAAATGGCTACAGACATTGTCCAGTATCCTTTGGGAAAAAAAAATCAACCTCCTTCACTACTGAGAACTGTTGCTGTACAAATGTAGCCAGCAGAGCTCAGAGCCAGCTTCTGATTTCAGAGTTGCAAGGAATGGATCTTGCATCTTCCAGATATTCTAATCCCTTCCTGTGTGGCTTCTACATGAAATCTCAACACTGGAGAGAAATGCCTATGGCTTCTATGATTTCTTTTAAAGTATCAAAGGAGTGTATTTTCATGTGTTTGCTTAATGTGGGCCTGACGTCTATTAATCAGTAATGGTCTTGCTATCAATATCCTTCCCCAAATTCATTAACTTTATTCACAAAATGATGTGGGTCCACTTCAGGTGATCCCCTTGGGCAGCCATGCCTTGAACAAAATAGGTGCTTATTATGTATTTTAAAACAAATTGATTGAATGAGTGAATTCCACAGCAGGGACACCACAGCAGCAAGATAAGAGTTGGAAGCTGAGGGAATCAATATAATCTTCCTTTTTCTCTGGGTTTTCTAATTTTCCAGCCGAGCAATTGGCACCATTGAATTCAGAACATGGAGGTGGCTTTCCTTCAGCATCAGTGCAAGACAGCACAGCCCAGTACCGGATTCTAGAATGATAGTGGGGAATCACTGGGAGAAGATTGCTTTCTATTCAGCACAATTTGAGAAAACAGAATAGATAATCTATTAAGGAAGGTTTTTATGCATATTAGAAAAATAAATTTTACATGTAGAGAGAATATAAGTTGAGATGAATAAAAAGCCAGCTTTTGTGTTAGTCATCGAGCTGGAGCCTTTTAATAAATTAGTACATTTGATGATTTTAAGTGTTTTTGTTATGACGTTTGCCAAACCCATGGAAAAGCAGAACAAATAATATAATTGGCATTTTATACACCCAGCACTCAGGGTTCACAGAAATTAACATTTTGCCGTTTCTTATTCAGATGTTTTTAAGGAAACAAAACATTTAAAAAGTGGTTGGTGGCCTCTTTATGTCCCTTCTTAATCTCACTCCTGGCTCTGCTTTCCTCTTTCTTTCCTCCCTCCCCAGATGAAACCATCACCTGGGGGTTGAAGCATATAATTCCCCTGAATGTATGTTTCAGCTTTAGCCATATACAGCATGTATGATTCTGCATTTTGCTTTCTCCCTTCTATATTACGTTTTTGAGATTAGTCCATAATGGCACATGCAGTTCTAATTAATTGATTTAACTGCTAAGCAGTATTCATTTTTAAAACTCACATTCCTCTATCGATGGGTAGTTAGTTACTTCCACCCTAAAACCCAAAACTGCAATGCGTAGTCTCCTATCTGTCTCACTGTGCACACGGGCAAGACTCTCTCCAGGGTATGTAGCTAGAAGAGGAATTGCTGGCTCCTGGGAATGTACGATTTGGGAATTATTAAATATCACTCAGATTGTTCCCCAAAGTGATGGCAGCAGTTTCTACTGTCACCAGCCGTGTCCGAGATTTTACTTCTTCACGTCCCCACCAACATGGGGCACTGTCGGACATTTTTAAACATTTTTTCCAGACATCGGGTGCTAAATGGTACAGTGTGGCCATCATTACTAGGGATGCTGTACATTTTTCACGTGTCAATTGTGGCTTTTTCTTATGTGAATTGCCTGTTCATAGAATTTTGTCTCCTTTTTCTCTATTGTTTGTTCGTGATCTTTATACAAGATGCGAATCCATTTTCAGTTATGTATTTTTGCAAATATCTCCTACACTATGGATAATCATTTCACTCTATTATATCCTTAGCTTAATAAAAGTGTTTTTAATATAGCCATGTTAATCAAGCATGTTTTATGGTTTGTGCTTTTGTATTTTAAAATACTGTTCTTGTGAACTGAGTTCACAACAATGTCATCGTGTGTCTTAAAAGTTCTGAAGTATTGCTTTTGACATTTCAGGTCTTCAATCCATCGAGACTTTGTTGTGGTTCATAGTGCGAGGTCAGAATCGGTCTTCCTCAATATGGATGAACTTTGTTTCCTTTCATACATTTTTTTCTACAGTTACCATGTATGCCTGGGTGTGTTTATGCACTCCTCAGTGTGGCTCTTTGGGTTTTTTGTCTCTCTCCCCACCATATGGTCTTCAAGGCTGGGTTCTGATAACTTGTAGGACAGCTTACCTTGCCTGTCTTTAAAATTGCCTGTTTTCTTGACCCTTTAATCTTCTTATTTAGATTCTATTGCAAAACCTGATGTAATTTTCATTGGAAATGCATTGATTTACAAGTTAGTTGGGAACAATGGACTTTTTTTTATATTAAATGATTATATTATTGCATAAGTTCTCTCCATTTATGTGTGGCTTTCTTTTTTTTTTCTTTTTATTTTTTGAGATGGAGTTTCACTCTTGTTACCCAGGCTGGAGTGCAATGGCACGATCTCGGCTCACCGCAATCTCTTCCTCCTGGGTTCAAGCAATTCTCCTGCCTCAGCCTCCTGAGTAGCTGGGACTACAGGCGTGTGCCACCATGCCCAGCTACTTTTTGTATTTTTAGTGGAGACGGGGTTTCACCATGATGACCAGGATGGTCTCGATCTCTTGACCTCGTGATCCACCCGCCTCGACCTCCCAAAGTGCTGGGATTATAGGCGTGAGCCACCATGCCCGGCTGTGTCTTTCAATAATATTTTATTTTTATCTATACAGGTCTTGAACTTCTTAAAATTTATTTTCAGGAAATAATTTCTATGGCTATTATGAATAGAACATTTTTCTGTATTCTATCTATATTTCAACTAATTATTTTTGGCATATGGGAACGCCATCGATTATCAAGCATTGATCTTGTATTTAGCAAACTTCCTGAACACTTATTATCTTTCATCCTTCATCTGTAGACTTTCTTGGATTTTCTGCCTTGAAAATCTTATCATTTGAAACTAAGAATAGTTTTGACTCTTGACCATGAATTGGGGCAACAAAGATCTCAACAAATTCAAAGAAAAAAGGTTATACTTTCTACTTCTTGTTTTTTTCCTTATCATATTTCATTAGCTTGTTATAATGATGGATATATTTGAAACCATTTTGTATTATCTTACTTTGTGTTGTGTTAGTTTTTGTTCCTTTGCATTGCTCTCCCTCTATCGCTTTCCTACTTTTGGATAGACTGACACTTTCTGTGTCCCCTTTTGAACTATTGGTTCAGAAGCTACAAACTATTTCTGTTCTCTCGGTGGTTACTCAGAAATTTTAAGATATATCCTTAACCATAATTTTTACTGACATTAATTTTCACAGTAATGTGGATAGATATTATTTCCTTTATATAAATGAAAGAAGCGAGGCTTGGAAAAGTAGAGCAACTTGCCCGGGATTGCGTAGCAAGTTCGTACCCCAGGTGCATTTTAAATGAGGTCTACGTATTTGAATGTCATTTTAAAAACCTATCGTGATTTTGCTGAAAAGTGATAAGGTTCGCTTAGCTAGAACCATATTTTTGTGGATTGTCCTTTTTTCATAAGTGTTCTCAAGCAGACCAGTTCTGCCATTAATTTGTGAAACCCTCAACAACACACATTCTCTCTCCAAGCCTCCATTTCCCCATCTTTAAAGTGGTTTGATTATCCCTAGCAGCACTCCTAGATCATATTTTAACAGTTCTTGGAAATTCCTTTGATAATGGACATTTAACAACCTCCCAAATAATTTGCCTTTCTGATAAATGGTGAACCAACTAAAGTTGGAATATAGTTTCTCACAACAACTCTAAACATCGTTTAGATTTATTAGTTAAGTATTCACCATCTTATCAAAGTTAGAATCTTTGTGCTACAAAATGGAAACTCACCGAACGACATTTATTTCCCATTAACCAAATGAGTGGTATTTTTTGCCCTCCTTGCTTGTAGCAATTTATTATAAATGGGAGGATGACTGGTCTGAGAGTTTCTTAAGGATTTTGTTTGCAGTGCTCCCTCTGGAAAGGAGTTAGTGCCAGCATTTTCAGGGGCTTTCAGGCAGTGAAGGTCGCACAATCTGAGCCGTCTCTACTGCATGGTCAGTGTCAACATCAGGGAATGCCCCTGATGCTAACTCGCCCCACAGAAAAATTAAAGGCACTTTAGGATATATGCAAAACAAAAACAGACACAAATATAAGAAATGTGTACGCCGGGCATGGTGGCTTACACCTGTAATCCCAGTACTTTGGCAGGCCGAGGCGGGTGGATCACAAGGTCAGGAGTTTGAGACCAGCCTGGCCAAGATGGTGAAACCCTGTCTCTACTAAAAATACAAAAATTAGCCAGGCATGGTGGTGGGCGCCTGTCCTCCCAGCTACTCAGGAGTTTGAGGCAGGAAAAACGCTTGAACCTGGCTGGTGGAAGTTGCAGTGAGCCAAGATTGTGCACTGCACTCTAGCCTGGGCGACAGAGCAAGACTCTGTCAGATGAAAGAAAAAGAAAGAATGAAAGAAAGAGAGAGAGAAAGAAAGAAAGAAATGTGCAAAGCCCACTGCCTAAGTGTAGTCATGATAAGAATCTGGGTTCTAGAGTAAGTAAATCTGAGCTCAGGGAGCAGCTCCACTAGGCACCGTGGTGCAATGGTTAGAGACTTACATCCTAATGCTGAGCTGCCTGGATTCAGATCTCTGCACAGCCACTTTGTAGCAGTATGACGCTGTTGTTCCTCCATTTCCCTGTGACAGTACACACGGAAGAGCCCTGGGTAACCTCTTTCATTTTGTAACCTGCCCCCACTCCAGGGTTTTATACCCTCATGGCAACCGCCGAGAAGTGCACAGCCCAGATTGTTTCTCACCTCTCTGCCTTTGCTCATGAAGCACCTTCTACCTAAAATGCCCTTCTTCCACCTCCCCTAGCTAGGAGTAGCTACCTCCTACTTCCCAATTTCATCCCAACCTGAGCTGGATACTGCTCCTCTGTGCCCCCATAATATATTTATTTCAGAATTAAAAACTGAAGCACACCTATCTAATGGTATATTTTACAAAAATTACCACTTTGCAGCCAGAAAAGCTGGATTCATGTTCCAACTCTGTCACTTACTAGCTGTGTGATCTCAGGAAAATTACTTCATCTTTGCAAACTTCAGTTTCATTATCTGTAAAATGGGAATCATAATACTATATACCTCATTGATTCAGCATGATGACTAAGTGTATTACTAGCTATCAAGTGTTTAGAATAGTATATGACTCTTAGAAAATGTCTATAAATGTAAGCTATTACTGCATTTATAAAGGCAATAATAATAAGGTCTATTTTAAGGGGATTGTCACAGGAGTTAAATGTAGTAACATGTGACAAAGAGCCTGGCACGATGCCTGGCCCTCAACTCAGTTCAGCAGGTGAGATTGTGTGTGTGTGTGTGTGTGTGTGTGTGTGTGTGTGTGTTTATAATAGAACAGCATTTTAAACTTAACAATACATTTCAGAAATGAAGGCTATATTCTAAGAACCAACTCGTTTTTCAAAGAATTCAAAACCAGCAGTGGATAAATAGAAATACAAAAACTAGAGGAACACATTCTAGGTCACCAGACAATACTCATAATCCTTTATATTTGCAAAGCACTCAGCAGCGTACAAAGTGCTTTGGAATCCATTATCACATCTGATCCTTGCCTTATCTCAACATGGAGGACAGGGTTTTTTTTTTTTTAAAACCTCTCTTTTCATGGATAAGAAAACTCAGTTTCAAAGATGTGGTGTGACTCAGCCACTGTTCCATCATCAGCAAATGGTGAGCCAGAGTTTAAAGCCTAGATTTTCTCATTCTCAAACCCATGTGTTTTTCTAGAACATTCCAGAACTTTCTGAGCATCCCAGGAAATAGCATTTGATGTGGAGACACAGATTTCCAGGTGTGTGAAAACCAAATCCCAGTGTTGAGGCACCTGCACCCTGTTTTCTTTAAAGCTCCCCAGCTGATGAACAGGCCCATGTTGTATCCTGTGGTCTCCTGAAGAGTCCAAGAAAGGAGTCATTAGTTTCTTTCGGGGATGTTAACAAGTTGTCTTTTAAGTCAGTGCTGTTTCCAGAGAGGTCACCAGCTGTTGGAATTTCAGGTAGGGCCCTGGTGTAATTCTTCTGCTTTGGCTCAGCTGTACTTTTTGGCCACCAAAAGCTGTCAAGGAGTCTAAGGTCACACTCCTATTGTTCAGTCCAGGAAGTGTCTTCTTTTATCAAGGGACTCCCTTGACAACTGCCCCTGCAAATTCAACGTTCTGGAGGAAGGAATGTGCTCACCTCTGGGTAAGCTTCTTCTGCAGAAAATGATCTCATTTGCCCGTTCTTAAACTGGCAAACAGGATCAAAGAACAGAAACGATGACTTAGATGGTCCAAAGGGGCACGTCTACGGTTTACCAAGGTGTAACACACATGCAGAGAACTCCGTATCCCACGTGTACAGCTCAATGAATTTTCATAAACTCACAAACAATGCCGGATCAATAACATTAATCACTCCCTAGAAGTCTATAGGTCTATAGGCTCTGTCCAGTCATTGCCCACCCTGGGCTCTCCCAACTTCTATCAGCAGATCCTGGCCAGCAGCAGAGGGATTCACCTGGCACACAAGGCTCTTACAAGATGAGGTAGGGTCATACTGATGACTTTCATGCAAAAGATGGGATGACAGTGTGGCTTTGGCTCCATACAGGTTGTGACAGTGTTAAAGACAGCAAGTCATATTTCCTGTACATTTATTCTGTGTCAAGCATTATGTTAGGCATGTATTTAATTTTCACAGAAGCCCAGCGTGGGTTGTGCCAGTCCCATTTCTCAGTTGAGGAGACTGAGGCTCAGGGAGGAGAATGGTCTCATCCAAGGTCACACAGTGTGACTGGTAAGAGGCAGGATTTGAACCAGGGAGGCTGGTTCTGGAAAACTTAGACCCTGGTCACTGCTTCGCCACCTAAGCTCATGGGTCTTCCTCTGGCTTTCAGATTGGCCATCGGGACTTTGACGTGGAGAAGCGACTTCGGAGAGACCTCAAGAGGACACATGCGCTGTTGTCAGACGTGCAGCTCCTTCTGGGCACCATGGAGGATGGCAAGACGTCAGTCAGCAAGGAGGAGCTGGAGAAAGTGCACAGCCAGGTGGGTGTCTCGAGAATCAGGCTGGGGAGGATGCAACGACCTGGAGAGAATGGCTCCCCCTTCCAGGTACGAACGGAGCTATGGTGCCAACCTCCGACTTTCACAGACCTGCAGGGAGGTGGGGAACATTTCGGGACTGCAGAGATCACATCGAGTGTAGGTGAGGAGGAGGGGTCTAAGAAGGAATCCTGTTCCCTTCTTCAGAGATGAGGCAGAATTCGTCTGTCTGGAGGGCTTGGGCAGATCAGCACTGGCCAGAATGGCTGAGTGCAGTGTGTCTGATGTGTGTATGTGTGTGTGTGTGTGTGTGTGTGTGTGTGGTGACCGCCAAGACTAGGTGTGAGCCAAATAGCAATAGTGTCATTAGTGCCAGTCATGCAAAACCCATGCTTAACAACAGCAGCAGTTACACAAACTTTGGCAGTTTGACTATTAGTATGCTAATGATATTGATCAAGACATGATGTTGACCACTGGCTGCTACCAGCTGGAGCCCTCACTAGGTCCTGGGTCCTCTGCATCTCTGTACATGGTGCTGCAGGGTGTTCTCAGGAGAGTTGAGTGAGGTGAGGATCATCAACTTCATTTCACAAGTGGAGGTGGTCGGGTGGCAGAGAGGCGAGATGACCCACCCAGTGCCAAACAGCTTGAAAGCTGCAGAACCAGGATTTGAACCCAGGTCTTCAGGCTCTACGATCCCTACGTGCCTCAAAGGAGGATGGGAGGAGTGGCAGGTCTGAGGGTGGTAGAGAGGTGAGGCCAGAGCAGAGCAGCACCTCAGGAGGTGTGATGAGAGTGTGGGCTATTCCAGCGGCAGCCAGTGTGGCCCAGGGCAGCCAGTGTTGAGAAATGTGAATGGATCCCACAGGGTGGTGCAAGCCTTGGGGAGAGAAGTCCCAAAGCTGAATGATGTAGCAGGGACTCAGGATTTTCTCCCAGTCCCCATGGGGAGCTGAAGACACCTGGGAAGGCTCAGAGTGCTGCTGGGAGTGTTGTGCCCATGCAATTGATGTTACTTCCCCTGGATAAGTCATTCTTGCTGAGCCCAGATGCCTTCATCACCATCTCCCTTCTTGGAGGATTACCATCTCTTCCTCCAGTCAGAGGCTGAGCCAGGCCTGAAACCCATGTTTCCCGACTCCAACCCCGGTGCTATTCTCTCTTCCTTCTGGAGACAAAGCCCATGATGACAAGCAGGTCCCCAGGAAGGCAGCAAAAGGGAGAAGACTATATAGCGCCAAGTGTTGGAAACAGAGATCCCAGAGCTTCTGCTGCTTCTAGTCTCTGCTGTCAGTTTCTGTCTGTAGAACAAAACATTTCAGGTAGAGCTTATTCACTTAACTAGAAGAACTCAACCAAAACAAACAAAACAAAAACCTAAATTCAGACTCATGATGGATTTCACCAGTCTCTCCATTCATGCCCATTTCCTCTCCCAGGACCCAACCCAGGACCCCACGCCATATTTTGTTGTCATGCCTGCCCAGTCTGCTCTGGTCTGGGACAGTTTCTCAGGCTTCCCTTGCTTTTCGTGACCCTGGCAGTTTTGAGGAGCACTGGACAGGTATCCTGTAGGATATCCTTTAATCTGGGTTTGTGGTTTTCTCATGAATAGACCAAGTTTACATGCCATTGGAAAGAATACGGCAGAAGTAAAGTGGTCAAACCAGAAGACACTGGGAGGGCTCGTCCATCCTGAAAATTCTATAACTCTTAGCCATCTCCTTCATCAGATCATCCTCTTCCAGGGTGACCCACCATCCTGTCTTTGTCTTGGACTTTCTTAGTTTTAGTGCTGGAAGTCCTGGGTCCTGGGCAAGCCAGGATGGTTGGTCCTTCTATCCTCTTCACGGCCATGTCAGGAAGCCAGAATCCCCTGTGCTTGAACATATCACCCCACTTAATCCTCATGATGCCCGTAGGGAAGGGGAGGTGGCATTGCACCCATTTTAGAGATGGGAAAATGTTGTTCAGAGGTGGCAAGTTGTATGCCCAAAGCAGCACAGCAAGTAAGTGGTAGAGTCGGGATTTGAATACAAAGCTTGTGATTCTAAGCGCAGAATTGGGAGATGCTTTTGACTCACATTGCATCTTCCTGCCTGCTTGGCTGACCAGGTGGGTGGGGAAACTTGAGCCACCTGGCTTGCCTCCAAGTAGGCAGAGGAGCTGTCCGATGGGCCAGGCATTTTGAGTTGACTTCCTTGGCAGAAGGCCACACGCCTGCCCATCTTCCATCAAAATGTCCTCAGTGCCACAGCACAAGCCTCCCCTCCCCTAACAGGTAGATGTATTCGAAAAGAAACCACAGAGATTTTGTTCCTTTTTCTTTCTTTCTTTCTTTTTTAAGTATTCATGAGAATTCTTCCTCTGCAGGGTTAAAATGCATGTTCTTGGGAAAAAGTGGTATTTAATGAAGGCACTTTGAGCGAAATCAAAGAGCCTCATTCTTCTGAAAGTCCTTCTTCCCAGTCTCTGCATCCGGCTCCTATCAAAGGGAATCCACAGCCTTGGCTTTTCATCGCTGTTGTCATGGAAATGGTTATAAGGATGGGATCGCGTGGACCAGAGGTCAGGGTACAGTTGCTTTGGCTCCCAGCACACGTGTCCCGGATGCCGGAGTCAGAGCTAATCAAATAAAGCAGTGATGACATTGGGCAGTGCTACATCTCCTCTCCAGTGTACTGTATTTGTCCTTTGCCTGAAGGCTCCAGGGACAGAGGTAGGGAAAGCAGACAGGAGGAGGAAGGGAGAGGGAGCTAACTTTCCTGCTGGCTACTGCTTAAGTGCTGAGCGTGGTGCCGAACAATTTCATTCATTCAGTATTTATGTAGCACCTACTGTGTGTCAAGCAATGTTCTAGATATAAGCACCATGGATAGTGAGACAGCAGGGGTACCCACCATCATAGAACTTACATCTGATGGAAAAGAAGACAAACAGTGATACGAATAAATAGAATCATCCCACACCTTAATTTGAATGAGAAAGGAAGTAAATAGGGTGCTAGAATAGAGAATTGCAGGGGCGTCCTGTTTAGCTTGGGTGGTCAGTTAAAATACCCTGGAGAAGGAGAAACAGGCAGGGACCAGAACATGCAGGGCCTGGAATGTTTGGATTTTATTCCAGGAGTGGTGAGAAGCCATTGAGAGATGGTGAGTGAAGTGTGACAGAATCTGATTCACATTTTAGAGGATCGTTCTTCTGCATGGAGATTGGATTATGGAGGGCATGAGGGGAAATCCTTAGAAGGCTAAGGCATCCTTCTAGGCCAGAAGAAATGGTCACGTGGGTTGGGAGACTGTTGATTGGGATCCAAGAAGGGACAAACTTGGGCCCAATTTGGAATTGATGGGACGTGTAGATGAGGTTGGGTTAGCAACATGTAAGTGTGTTATTTTGGAAAATCCTCGCCATAACCCTAAGAGGCAGGTATTCCTATTTTTAACCCATTTTACTAATGAGGAGACAGTCTCTGAGAGGTTGAGTAATTTACCTAAGGGCACACAGCAATACATGTCCTACACCCTTACAACTTGGTTTGCCCAATGTGGGTCCTATGAACTTTTATTATCAGGCGCTTACTATGCACAAGACTTTTTCCCCTTGGTGTCTTGGGGATCCTCAAATTTGGCCGCCCATCAGGGAAGTTACGCACCATTTTAAAATCACAGGCTTCTGGATTCCACCCCTTCCCTATCATTTAAAAAAAAATCAAGTCGTGGTTTGAATTCATGATCTCCATTATTTTTATATATTTTTTGAGGCGAAGTCTCGCTCTTGTCGCCAGGCTGGAGTGCAATGGTGCGATTAGGGGATTCTGGGGAACCACAGGCCTTATTTGTCCCTTAGAACACCCTTTGGAGTTCAGTGGTAGCATGTCTATTTTGCAGATGAGAAAATTGCTGCTGGGGTTATGTTAGTGTGACACATCTTATTTCCACCTATTTTAAAATTAAATAATTTTCGAGTAGAGAAAACTGGATCCAGCACGTGCTAATTCGTCACCTTTGACAAGTGACTCAACCTCTCTGAGCCCTTTTTCTAAAGTGAAGTGTCATCATCATCACACGATGGCCCAAGGGCTGAGGAGGGAAAGCCAGTGAAGGCTTCAGAAACTTGGACAGGTGGCAGGGCGCGGTGGCTCACACCTGTAATCCCAGTATTTTGAGAGGCCGAGGCGGGTGGATCACCTGAGGTCAGGAGTTTGAGCCCAGCCCGGTCAACATGGTGAAACCTCATCTCTACTAAAAATACAAAAATTAGCCTGCTGTGGCGGTGGGTGCCTATAATCCCAGCTACTCAGGGGGCTGAGGCAGGAGAATCACTTGAACCCAGGAGGCGGAAGTTGCAGTGAGCTGAGATGGAGCCACTGCACTCCAGCCTGGGCAACAGAGCAAGACCCCATCTCAAAAAAAGAAAAAGAAACTTGAACAGCTTCTGTGACCTTTACACTCACTGACTGTGTTGATGGAAAACCTAGAGAAAGGGTTTTTTGGTTTTTTTGAGACAGTCTCACTCTGTCACCCAGGCTGGAATGCAGTGGCCCTATCTCTGCTCACTGCAAACTACGCCTCCCAGGTTCAAGTGATTCTCCCGCCTCAGCCTCCCGAGTAGCTGGGATTCCAGGCACCTGCCACCACACCCAGCTAATTTTTGTATTTATAGTCGAGATGAGGTTTCACTGAGTTGGCCTCTAACCCCTGGCCTCAAGTGATCGGCCCACCTTGGCCTCCCAAAGTGCTGGGATTACAGGCCGAGCCACCACACTCGGCAGAAAGGTTTGTATGAAGGACATGCAGGAGGGAATGTGTTCAAATGCACCTGTTAGAGAGAACAGTGTTCGCTCTGCAAATACTGATATGATCTCCACTCTGGGATGAATTTGGGGCCAAGCTATGGGAATAAAGAGGAAATGACAAGGTCTCTGCCCTTAAGGGGTTCCTAGTCTTAGAAGCAGCCTATAACAAGGCAGAGTGATAAACTCCTTATTGAAGGGATAT